CAATTATTAATATTAATTATGATTAAAACCCTTTTTGTGAATGTGTGACTTTAAAGTGCAAAGTATCGGTTTTAAACATTTTTGTTTTGTTTTCTAGTATAAATAGTGTTATTCCAGCAGACGTTTCTTTATTACTCAGGCAAACTATCTTAACATGGGTCTACTCAGGATACAAAACAGCTTATATAAGGAAATCTACCCCCCTTAACCTTCTATGTCCCGTTGATGTAAAATAAGGATAAAATACACTATCCTACTTGGGGGAGCTACCATCTCCTACCGAGCGCGTCCCCAGGTGGCGGATAGGGGAGAGGCCCTTAGATATGAGGGTTAGCTGTGAATACCAAATAAACAGCCGTGGACCAACTGGTTTGTGGTCATGGAGGATGAGGTGGGATATCCATTGGTTAGGATATCTAATAAAAAACATCTCATAAATCCAAGGAAATGACTTCAGCGGCGAGCATGGGGCGCTATAACTCCAAACCCGGGCAGATGGGGCTCGTTAGCTGGGGACAGCAACCCATCTAGGAGAGACAACTCCAAAATCAAACAGCTACTGCCTTGTAGTTTGTTCTTGGGTGATCAAAGGCTATGGAAGCAAATCCAGAAAGAAAAGCAGGCTGAAGTCGGAGTCAACGGGCCATCTAGTATGGCGCATAACATGCTGGCACGCACTGCTTAATTTTATGATGGAGGAAAGAAATAGGACTAACAGAAGTGGCGTCCTGCCTGTGGAATCCCGCCGCGCAGGTAGGGGGCCGGGCTCTCCGCCTCGAAGAAGCCCACAAAAGCGAGCTGGTGGTTCCTCTATTCTTGCCTGGCCAGCCAGGGGCAAGGATCAGAAGGTAAATTCTACTGGCCAAAATAGTGAGAAAAACAACAAATTACTTGTTATCCTGCAGTGGAATGCAGAGGGAGTTCATAAAAAAAGGAAGCCTTAAAAATATTCCTACGCGAAAATAAAGTAGACGTTGCTTGTATTCAAGAAACTCACCTCAACAACAATCTTCGCTTCTCTATTAGAGGATACACCTGCATAAGGCAGAACAGGGAAAACAGACCTAAAGGAGGTATCCTCATTCTCATAAAAAATGACATTCCAACAACAGATATCGTTATACCAAACTCAACAGCATCTGAGATAATGGGCACCAAACTCATACTTGCAGAAGGTAACCTAAATATCTTCAATTGCTACTGTCCTCATGATAAGGACTTGGAACTGGACCGCATCTCCCTGCCAAACAGCGAAGATTGCCTGGTTGTGGGAGACATGAACAGCCACTCCTAGAGCTGGGGTTACCCTGACCTCAATGTTAAAGGAGAGGAAATTGAAGAATGGCAAGCAGAAAACAGGCTGATCCTTCTAAATAAACCTGATGACGAACCAACTTTTTACTCAAGGTCTTGGTTAACCTCGTCTACCCCTGACCTAGCTTTTGCTACTAATGGCATATCCAAAAAATGCAAAAGAGAAGTTGCAGATCAACTAGCCACTAGCGACCACCGACCAATCCTGATCCAGATAGAAACATGAAACAGGCCAATTGAAGCCTACCCCCGCCCTAGATGGAACTACAAAAAAGCTAATTGGGAGCTCTTCTCTGCCCTCACAGACTCCTACACAAGACCAATCAACTGTAAAACCAAACAGGTGAGCAAGTCATACATAGCCTTCTCAAAAGCAGTTCTGTTAGCAGCCAAAAAATCTATTCCAAGGGGAGCAAGGAAAAATTATATCCCAAACTGGACTCCAGACCTCCAGATACTCCATGACGAGACAATTGATGCTAGAAACACTGTTGAAGAAAATCCCACTCTAGAAAATAACATAAAATTAAAATCAGCAAACGCAGTTTTTAGAAAAAAGTATCTAACTGCATTGAGGAAAAGCTGGCAAGAAAAAACAGAACACCTCAATGTAGATAGAGATGGTCACAAACTATGGAGTATTGCTAAAAGGCTAAACCAAGAAGAAAACAGAGCTACTCCCATAGTCATCGACATTGAAAACACGATCAAAACAGAAAAGGATGCAGCAAAAGAATTTATAACCCACTTCAGCAAAGTGGGACAAATAAATATCAGCCACCAAAGAGCAGAAGAGGTTAAAAATCAAACTGAAGTTAAAGTAAAACTACAGAAAGTCTCTCCCCCCTCCTCCACTGGAATGGTAGCTCGAATTAGCAAGAAGGAGCTCGGAGAAGCGATGAAGCTCCTTAAACTTGAGCAAGCTCCAAGCCCTGACAAAATCTCATGCACCTGGGCCCCAATGCTAAGAAAAAACTGCTCCAAATATTTAATGCAAGCTGGAAATCTGGGAAAATCCCAAATATTTGGAAAAAAGCAATCATGATACCTGTTCTAAAAATAGGAAAACCCAGGAACAAAGTCGATAGCTATCGCCCAATAAGTTTAACAAGCTGCGTTTGTAAACTGATGGAAAGAGTAGTAAACAACAGACTGACCTGGTTTCTAGAATCAAACAATCTACTAGCAGACGGACAGGCAGGCTTCAGGAAGTGCAGATCTACTGAAGACCAAATCACCTTCATTTCTCAGGATATAGAAGATGGCTTTTAAGAAAAAAAAACAACCTCAATAGTGTGGGTCGAATTTGAAAAAGCCTTTGACAAGGTCTGGGAGCAAGGCTTAATTCTAAAGCTAATAAACCATCAAGTATCTCATAACATGCTAAACTGAATAAAAGGTTACCTAAGCAACCGAAAAGCATCAGTCTCCATGCAAGGAAAAAGAAGTCACACTGTAACTATAAAAAATGGAGTCCCTCAAGGAGGAGTCTTGTCTCCTACTCTCTTTCTCATTTATATAAATGACTTAAATGAAAACATCTCAAGGTGAGTAAAAAGAAGCATGTTTGCAGACGACCTTTCACTAATCAGCACAGAGGAATATATTGGTACCTCAAAATTTCGTCTTCAAGAAACACTTGACAAGCTCGGCAAATGGACCAAAAACTGGGGCTTATCCATCAATACCAAGAAAACAACTTATTCAATCTTCACCCTATCAACTAAACATAAAAAAATGAAACTAACCCTAGAAAACCAAGAGCTAGAAAAAAATGACCACCCCAAATACCTAGGAGTCACTTTTGACACTCGACTTACCTGGAGAAAACAAATAGAAAACACAAAAAGTAATGGGATCAAAAGACTTAATCTAATGAGGAAACTGGCAGGAACAGACTGGGGAGCAAATCACCACATCCTGAAAAAAACCTACACCAGCTATGTGAGACCTACGTTAGAATATGGTGCTTCGGCTTGGGGCTCAGCAGCAAAAACAAATATTAGCAAAATTGACAAAGTTCAGAACATTGGTTTGAGAATAATGACAGGAGCCATGAAAACAACACCCATAAAAGCTATGGAGGAAATAGCCGCTCTTAGCTCAATAGAAGAAAGAAGAGAATAAAAAATCCTCACTCAATACACAAAGCTAGAGGCACTGGAAAAACATAACCTAAAACAAAAACTCCAGAAACCCAGTCCATCAGCCAGACTACAAAGAACAAGTTTCATCAAAGAAGCAAAGAATCTGAAAAAGAAATATGAAATCGAAAATATCATTCCTGAAGCAATAAAAACTCAAAACCTCTCCCCGCCTTGGATCTCCCACTGTCACTTAACCATTATTGACTCAATAGACACCATAGGAAAAAAATCTGACTATGATCTAGAAGAACTTAAGAAAATAACAAATAAACACATTAAGGATCAGTACCCCAGCAATACCTGGATTACAGTTTTCACAGATGGCTCAGCTGAAGATGCCACAAAAAATGGCGGGGCTGGCATCCTTATTGAATGGCCAAGCGGAGAAAGCCTGGAAAAGGCAATAGCCACAGGCAGCCTATCCGACAATTTTAGGGCAGAAAAAGAAGCTTTAGAACATGCAGCAAACCTCATGTCAGAACATCCTGAATCACCGAATAGTCAGATTGTATTTCTTACAGATGCCAAATCAGTCCTGCAATCCCTACAAAATCCAGAGTCCCATATTCAAACACTTATGACAGCACTAGAGAGGCTAAAAAATACCTGCAGCAGGATTGTGCTGCAGTGGATCCCGGGCCACTGCCAGATCCAGGGTAACGAGATCGCAGAGCAGCTGGCAAAAATTGGGGGAAAGAAACCACAACCGGAAATTTCGCTACACCCAAAAGAAATAAAAAGAATAATAAAAAACAAACAAACGCAAATGTGGTCTGTCACACACCCTCACTACATTAAAGACGACGGCTATTATAATTTAACACGAAAACAACAATACATAATCTTTCGACTTAGAACAGGCCACAACAGACTAAATCAACACATGCACAGAAAACTGAAGGTTGGGTGTAGCAAAATGTGCTCTTGTGGCAAGGCCCCGGAAAACACGGAGCACGTACTCCAGGAATGTACTTTGTATAGCCAGGCACGAGACAGACACTGGCCCCAGCCCACCCCACTCAGGGAAAAATTATATGGGGCACCTGAAAAACTGGAGACCACAGTCCGGTTTGTCCACGAAGTTGGACTTGTTGTCTAAATCCTCCACCATATTCACAATTAAGAACGAAGAAGAAGAAGAAGAAGACACTATCCTAATTTTGGATTCGTGTGTCCTAATGTATTATATTTTTTCCAACACCAGAAGACTACAAACTACATTACAAATACCAACAGACATTTAGATGAGTCATTGGAAACTATTTTGTTTCCAAATACACGTATTTTTAACAGAAAGAAGCACAATTTAACAATATATTGTAACTTTTTTTTCAATTTTTCAAGGTTTTATCAATATCAGTAAAAGAAAACATTGAGTAAAACTAAGTTATTTTTTTTTAAAAATATAATTTCAATGTATTGTTTTTAAGTGCAACTTAACAGTATCATATTTTTTTTTTTTTTTGTTTTCTTGTGTAATTAATGTAATAACGTACCAGTAAATGTATCTTTATTATTCAGGCAACTAACTAGCTTAACATGGGTCTACTCAGGATACAAAGCAGCTTGATCTATATTTTGATATTCTGCCATATTTATCACGTGGTCACACCTCAGACGTACACCAACGTGACGTCCATCTTTAACGATAAAATCAACAACAGCGGCTACAACCCGCAAGTCCGGCCGCTGGTTAACCAGTCCCAGACCATCTTTGTCGACGTCTGGTTCGAACTGGTTTCCATTGTGGAGGTCAATGACGTGGCCCAGAGTTTCACCTGCAACGGGTTCCTGCTGTTTGGATGGATGGACGAGGTAACTGTCGTCTCTACAGTTGTTATTCAACATTTTTTAGTATCTAATGTTCAGAGTTTCTTTTAGGCATGTCTCAATGTAGAGGGAAGAAAGACACTGTCCCCCTTCCCCACCCAAGCATGTCATACGCCAATCTTATTTTAAATCTAACTATACTTTTTCCTACCCATATCCGCCAGCTAATTGTCTGGAACCCATACGTTTACGGGGGACATACATTGATTCACCCACTACCTGAACAGATCTGGAGACCTATGGTGCTGCTGCTCAATACATTGGATAAACGAGAGCTGTTTAAAGACAAAAAGTCGTATGTAGTGTTTTATTACCATATTAAAAAAAATTTTTAAATAAAAATATAAGACTTTGATTTAAAAGTTGTGAAAATAAAACCATGTTACTTAATTTATGTCAATTATTTAAAAATTTTAAACCGCGAGTAAATTTAAATTCTAGAGTTTCAAAGATTAAAGCCTGTATTCTAATCACTATAGATTTTTGTGTGTATTTTAATTAAATGTTGAAATGATAATTAAAACAGTGCAACCAGTACTAGAAAAATAGTCCAATTAGTAACGTCATGTTTTAATTCTATTCTCACCCCTCGTTACAAAAGGCTAGATCCACTGCAGAGGCGTAGCGACCCTTCCCGGCTCCCGGGGACAAACTTTCGATTTGAACCCCCTCCCTAAAGCTTTTGATTTGCACCCCCTCCCTCAAACTTTCGATTTGCACCCCCCTCAGGATTTTGATTTGCATCCCCCCCCAAACTTTCAATTTGCACCTCCCCTCAAGCTTTCAATTTATTTTTCCAACCCATTTTGGCGCCCCCTAAGGTCGGCGCCCGGTACATATGTCCCCCCCCCTCGCTACGCCTCTGATCCACTGTACTTCCCTTTATCCCAAATAAAATAGATATTTCACGTTTTTTTCTTCTGCTTCTGAATATATACCTGTAATAAAAGATACAAAATAAATGCGTAACGATACGTACTTCTTTCTTACCCCCCACCTTACATACGTCTAAAATTTTCCTGGGTAAGCCGTCCACACAGAATATAACATCTGTTGTAAACGACGTTAAACAGAGACTACTAGCTTCACGAATTGTAAACGTAGCCCGATAATACAACAGTACTACATCTAATCACTGAGAGTAATACCTGAATCTTTCTCTGCTACCAGACCAGTGTTCATCTACAATACAGGGGGTGCCACCTGGGCCCCGGGCAGTGTGTTCCCAGTCTCCTGTCAGCTGACCATGACCAACTACCCGTTCGATCAACAGGAATGTGTCATCAATGTAAGTTAAGTCAAATATGTCTTCTATGTAAGTTGTTTAGTCAAATACGTGATATATGTAAGTTGTTAGGTCAAAGTATGCCATTTATGTAAGTTTTTAAGTGAAAAAATCATCTATGTAAGTTGTCGCGTCAGATTAAGTTATCTATGTAATTCTTACAATTTAAATGTGCATTCTATGAAAGTTCTTTTAATTTATTTGTGTCATCTATGTAAGTCAACCATTGCCATCTGTGTAAGTATAATAAACCTATTTATTGTGACGTTTATAAAATCAGTTTTTTTTTCTAAACATGCGTCTTTAGTATAGTTTTATCAGCGCATGTGTCAAGATCTGAATAATTTCAATTTTTTCGTATGTGTTGCGATTAGTTAGTAGCACATATGGCTGTTATTCTGTTAATTCACCTTTATGGCACATATTTAAAATTTACAAATTGTAAATGTGAAATTCGAATAGATATTAGTTGAGTCATAGGGCGGACAGATAAAGGCTAGGTACAGAAACCCATCGAAGAGAGACACTTCCTAAATCAAACAACTGCTGTGTCATAGCTAATTCTTATGTGGACGATGGCTATGGAAGCAAATTCAGACAGAAAAGCAAGCTTAAGTTTAATTAATTATATGTTGATAGGCCTACCTAATTTAATGTGTATTTGTGTTGGGAGAAATACCGTCCAACATTATACCAGTAAGAAGAAGAATTACAAGTCTTTGGTGACTTTTATATTACATGTTAGCGATCTACTTGTGATTTCTCTTGTCAGATGACAGCTTTGACATTAACTAGTGAGGAAATGCAGTTCACGAGTACAGAACCTACGATCAGCACTTCATATTACACACTACACGGGGAATGGGATTTACTCGCAGCTACTATCAGTACATTTAACTTATCGACACGCTACGTTAAGGTCCCGGGATTTCAGGTGAGTTGTCAAGTCAGGGATCTATAGGTCCCAATATTCCAGATAAATTGTCACGCTGAGATAGTAAAGGTCCTAAAATTTCCGGTTAGTTGTCACGTTAAAGATCGTGTAGGTCCCAATATTCCAGGTAACTTGTCACGCTGAGATCGTATAGGTCCTAACACTTACAGGTCAGTTGTCACGTCAGGAATCATGTAGGTGCCAATAGTCTAGGTAACTTGTCACGCTGAGATAATATAGGTGCCAATAGTCAAGGTAACTTGTCACGCTGAGATAATATAGGTGTCAATAGTGCATGTAACTTTTAACGCTGAGATAATATAGGTGCCAATAGTCAAGGTTACTTTTCACGCTGAGATAACGTAGGCGCCAATAGTCAAGGTAACTTTTCACGCTGAGATAATATAGGTGCCAATAGTCAAGGTAACTTGTCACGCTGAGATAATATAGGTGCCAATAGTGCATGTAACTTGCCATGCTAAGTCGTAAAGGTACTTACCTTTCAAATCAGCTGATCTTCTACACCGACATTTGTTTATAATCTTTAAATAACGATTTTGGAATATTGGCTTATTTATTAAAACTATTTGTTCTAAACTATTAATAATAATAACACGTTAAGAACTCTTACATAGCTAGAATCTGTTGCGTCGATACGTCGGGTTTCACCTGGTGTCCGCCGGTTTTTTTCTATGTAAATTTTGAAGTTGGTGTCACACATTCCCCCCCCCCCCCCCCCCCCTCAGTAAAAGTTTTAAAATGTTCGTATTTTATACTAACGATGTGTATCTTTAGCTGGTTGTTAATGCAGCTGAATGTAGCATTTTTTTCTTTATAGTTTGCATTTTTATGTCATGGTGTCTCTCTCCCCCCCCCCCCCCGCACACACTTGTCGCGATCGTCATTATATACTTAAATTATTTTTGTACCCTAATTAACCATTCAATGAACTGGTCAAAAGCATATTCATTCTATATATCTTGCAAACTTTTTGTTTTGGTGTCACCCCCCCCCCCATAAATAGTGTATCCCGGTGCAATCCGCACGCCCCGCCCCCGCCATGAGACGCCTCTGGCTAGACACCACAGTTTTATAACAAATAAAGACAATAAATGCAATACAGACTTTAAAACTATGTTTTGATTATTTGCATCACGCTTTTTATGCCGATCCACTTTTTTTCAGCTGAAGTTTACACTGAAAAGACGGCCGATATTTTTGATCGTCAACATTATACTGCCTGTCGTGTTCTTGTCATTCCTCAACATACTCGTCTTTATCATTCCTGTTGAGTCAGGGGAGAAAATCGGCTACGGTAGGTTATTCTGGACAAGTCGTGTCCACTTCATGGTCTGGGCAGGATAGAAAACAGGGAAATATTTTCTGTAGCTGAACAAAAGGGTTTTTTTTTAGCAATTTGTACATACTAAAATAACAAGATTTAATGTTAAATGGAATGTATGAAGCATTCAAGAAAGCAAAAAGTTAAATGTGCCCCTAACAAAGTAAAATAGGTGTTCATTAATGAATGACGGAAGTACATTATGTAAAAAAAAAATACTTTGACTACTTCTTTTCATTCACAAACATTTTGACTTACTTGACTTTGACTTAGTCCTCTTCGCTCCTTATGAAACATAGGGCTTCCACCATTTAAATATTTAGCGTTTTTTTTTTTTTTTTTTTTTTTTTTGCTATTTATAAACTTTTCATCTATTTTGAATTAATAAAATATTAGAATTTATATTACTAAAGTTTAATATTTATAAAGTATTTGAATGGCTCGTAATGTTTAGGTTTACAAAAACGTATTATATATACCTGTCCACTTACCTCTGACCCTACAGTTTGCTAACTTCCAGGTATCACCGTACTGCTGGCACTGTCCGTGTTTATGTGTATTGTGATGGGGATGTTGCCCAGGTCATCACGGTCCATGCCCAACGTCACCATCTACCTCTTCATCTTACTCATCATCTCCATGTTGACCGTCATCGATAGTATCGTCATCGTCTACCTCTCTCATAGGGAGGAGGTGCGTGCTTGTATCTGGGCAATAGAACAATACTCACTCTACTAACACTTTTGTCTGTGACATATATACATTATATATATATATATATATATATATATATATATATATATATATATATATATATATATATATATATATATATATATATATATATATATATATATATATGTTAATTTGTAATCCAATAGACCACTTTTTATTTTAATGGCGGGTATTATTTTTTTTTTTCTGAACAGAGAGAACAGGCACATCTGAACACCAAGAGAAAATTTAAAGAAGCTTATACTAAAGTTAAAATTAAAAACTCGGTCGCGCCTCAGAACAACGAGACTTGCACCAGCGATAACAAAGTGGCGAGAAAGAAAATAACGCTGGATAGAGCGGTTCTATCATTCACATCCGGGTCTCAGAACGAAGAGAAACCGGAAGTAAACAAGTACAAAGTGATCGGAAAATACATGAATAAAGTTTCTTTTGTGGTGTTCATGTTCGTTTGGGTCAGTGTTACACTTGGGACTTTAATATTCGCGTCTCAGTCTTAGGTTCATTTGAACCAACAGACTTGTAGTCCTAGTTTAGGTCCACTAGAACCAACAGACTCGATTGAGAAATGTGCGGTATGTGAAGCTATTCTCATTCACCCAAAACAGATACTTTCCAGTAAAAGAAAACGTATACAATGTTTTTCATAGAACGTTACTTAGCTTAAAGTTCATAACATAAGAATTGTGTATGACCTTACATGTTTACTTATATGGGAAAAAATATATAATGATGTGTCTTTATGAGCTCTCTGAAATATAATGCATGATTTATATTATAACAGAACAAGCATTTAAATTACAATTTATTTTGTCTTTAAGACAGTTTTTAAGACAGTCTTTAAGTTGCAGCTTTTTTATATAAAGAATACCACGCATGTTACAGAATAAAATGACAGCTTTAGAGCTTTCATATTATACCAGTTTTCAGTAACGTGTTATGATGTTGTCCAGATAATTTGTGTTCCATATTGCGTTCTGAAAGTCGTTGTCATTTCAAATGGCACAACTAAGGTATAATAAATTCCGACTTTGCAGTCGTATTTCTGAAGCAATTTTTGTGTTTTTTCTTTGTATAGTATTTAGTTATACTTTTGATCTATATTTTTGTTTTATGAATACAATTATAATATCATTTTGAAACTGACGTTTCACAAGAGATCCATGCACATTCAGGGACATTATGATAACCATTATGTTTAACCGTTACTTTCCTTCATGTACATTGGGTACTCATCTGAGCTAGTTGGACTCAGGGACGTTCTGTCACCATTCAAAGACATTCGAGTTCATGGGCGTTTTACGAACACAAACCCCGATTTCGAACTGGAGACTTTAGGGTTAGAAGTTGAATGATCTACCATCCGACAGAGCGCCCTTTTTACAAGCTTTTATTTAACTCACTTCCTCTGTCGTCGGTCTGTCGTCAGTCTAGATCGAAACGCAGGAGTGAAAATTCGGACAGTTCTACTTGACTGATACGATTCAAAGTTGGCACGTGGGTCAAGACATGGAGACAATGCAATCTGAAACTAAATTTGACTTAATTGGATGCCTAATTAATTTTTTATATATTAATTAAAATTTGGACCGAATTAGTAGGCATGTCTAGCCAACCACACCACACGCGTCATCACCTTCAATAGCTGCGCCATCACGTTCAATGGCTGCAATCAAAAACCATTGCGCGCCTACTGAACGTGATGTTCAGTAGGCGCGCAATGGTTTTTAGTCATGTAACTCTATTGTAAATAAAACATGTAGAGTACTGAAAAAAAAATTCATAAAAAACGTTTTAATAACAAGCTTTTATGTAATAATGCACTAAAAATTAGAAAATAAATTATAGACTACTATTTAAATAACTATAAAGAAAAGCGTGGGTGTCTTCCTTAACATTAGTAAAGGTATCCAATAGATCAGTGGTTCCCAACCTTTTTCGATTGGCAACCCCCCTTTTATAAAAAGTAAGTGACCCGCGACCCCCATAAAATTAAAAAGCCGAAATTAGTAAGGAAATTAATAAGCACTAAAATAAGATTTTCAAGTAGACTTTCAATATGAACTACTCTTGATAACTATTTTAATAGCATGAGTAAAATTGCATACAATTCACTAAACCTTCGTGGTTAAGTTTTTAATTTTAAAAATTTTTGTTAACGCCAACCTATATCATTATAATTATCTTAATTTTGTTTTTAATCGAAGAATAGTGTTGAAAATATATTCTTGAAAAGTCAATCAATTTTACGTTTGGTTATGAATGGTAAAAACTACACCAAAATTGTGTCTGCAGTTTTTCGTCTTACTTGGAATCATTCTGCAAATCAAAGAATTCATCTTGTAATTCACCGGGAATGCTGGCAACATCAAGGGAAGAAGAGAATGGGTAATGCGTAAATGCAGATTCTTCTTTTTTCAGCTCAGAGAAATAGCGATGCAGTTCCTTTTCAAGAGATTCAAGATGCCCAGAAATCGCTTCTTTCTAAATTTTAATTATCTCAGAATCAGATTCATCTACCACACCGCAGAGTTTCTCAAATTTACAATATTTCCAAGATTTATTTTCTTTTCCGACTTTGCAGCTTTGATATAAAAATGCCCCGAGATTATCATGGAAAGTTAGAATATTCGTTCATTTTCCCTGAAGCTTCAGGTTAAGCTTATCTTGATGTTCGAACACATCTGCTAGGTATGATACTCTCTCCAACCACTCTATGTCGTTTTAAGTATACCAAAAGTCTTGTTTTCTTTTGCACTTCCAAGAACAATTTGATTTCAGATTTCAATTCAAAAACACGATTCACAACAATTCGTTTGACAGCCAGCGTACTGTAGTGTAGAAGAGCAGAACCTCGTGATCTATATTATTGTTTTTGCTCAGTTCTTTGAATGCTCCAGATTTTATATAATTTACGACTTATACTAGCAATGGACTCTTGAAGTCGATTGGTTAGGGCAGTGGTTAGGGAGCTAAATTTTTCTGTTTTCTGAAAGCCCGATTTTGAGCTAAACATAGATGGTACACCATACGTACAAACCCCCACAGCCGTTTTAACCCATTTTAATCATCCAGTTTCAAAAAAGTTATTTATTTTCTCCATGTTATCTTCACAAAAGAGCAACTCTTCTTTGCTATCATCCGCATGAATATAGACACAGACCAGCAACTGCAACACGAACTCACGTCTGTTGATTTATCAACTTTAAAAGCAAACAATGGTGAAAGCTTAATTTCGAAAAAAAAAGTGTTATTTAACATTTACGTACATGCAGCGTTTGATGAGATTTTCTCCTATTGTTTTTTTTTTTTTGCTTGGCATCTTCTATCGCGACTTCATTTATTGCTTGCACTAATGCTGGTGAAAACTTCCTGTTCGATCAAGTCTCTGGCGTTTGCAACTAGCTTCTTACCGACGAAAGAACTCCATATAATTTTTGGTGTGTTCCGAATGACTCGTCTCAAATGGCGTTTTAGTTTTGAAGATTTCATAGATTCGTGACTGAGAACAACTTTGTACAGTGCGCTTTGTTTCTTCTCTATTACATTTCCAGTGATGTTAATGAAGCCGAATTTCAAAAATTCTTCTAAATATTTATGTTTTGTTTCAAATTACTAAGGTTTAGTATACCAGTTGGCGACCCTCCAGAAAGACCTTCGCGACCCCCAGGGGGGTCGCGACCCCCAGGTTTGGAACCCGTGCATTAGATACTAAAGTGACCCACGCTTTTCTTTATAGTTATTTAAATAGTAGTCTATAATTTATTTTCTACTTTTTAGTGCATTATTACATAGAAGCTTGTTATTAAAACGTTTTTTATGAATTTTTTTTTACAAGCTTTTATTTCACTCACTTCCTCGTCAGTCGTCAGTCGTCATTCTAGATCGAAACGCCGGAGCGAAAATTCGGACACTTCTACTTGACCGACACGGTTCACACTTGGCACGTGGGTCAAGACATGAAGACAATGCAATCTGAAATTAAATTTGACTTAATTGGATGCCTAATTAACTTTTTATGAATTAATTAAAATTTGGACCGAATTAGTAGGCATTTCTATCGAATCACTTTAGTATCTATTGGATACCTTTACTAATGTTTAGGAAGAGACCCACGCTTTTCTTTCTAGTTATTTAAATAGTAGTCTATAATTTATTTTCTACTTTTTTGAGCATTAGTACATAAAAGCTTGTTATGAAAACGTTTTTTATTAAAAAAAAATTTTTAGTTTTATGATTTTATTATAAATTTTTGTTTTAAATACACACACACACACACACACACATATATATATATATATATATATATATATATATATATATATATATATATATATATATATATATATATATATATATATATATATATATATATATATATATATTTACTTAACTCGTTAACTATGGCGAAGTGTTGAATGGTGTTAACTAACTGCTAATGCAGCCAATAGACCCTGCTAACAAATCAGCCAATTCGATTATCGCTTCTACTTCTGTACGGCCGTGACTTACAGAAGGACCAATTAATTCGACGAACAAATCAGTCTCACAATCATATGAATTCATACGTTATACGTTACACCTGATTGATCCTTACTAGAAGTACCATGGCCTCCAATTTGTACACCTAACTATTGTCAGAGGCGTCTCTATCTCTCTGTCTATATATATATATATATATATATATATATATATATATATATATATATTTATAAATATATGTGTGTGTGTGAGTGAGTGCATAATGTAAAAAGTAAAGAATCGTCTATAGACCTAGCGATCCGTTTGGCAGGTGAAGAAGAGTTCATCTGTATACATTATGTGCACGATCGCTGAGGAACTTTTCAAGGTTTGCTTTTACATTGTCCTCCCTACTTTATGATGAAAGACATAATTTTTTTTTTAAAATGAATATTTCATCTTTATCTTCAGATAGTTTGTATTAAACAGGAAACAATACGCCTGATGAACAGCGGTTCAAAAATCTATTAAGGCATTAAATCTCATGTGTACATCATTAAAAAATGTAAAATGTTTATTTGTTTGTTTTATGTTTGAAGTAATGGTTTAATTTACAATATCCATTTAAACATAAAGAAAAATATATTTAAATTACTTAAACCTTAATCAAAAGACATGAGCGAATATAATGTTAGTTTGTTAAATACAAACACATGTGATTCTAATTATATCCTATTTCTCTCCACCCATCCTTTAATCATGGACACGCCCATGTATCTACGGGCTACGTTATGGTGACAAACCCCTCGATCCCCTCAACCCGCACACACAGCCCCACCCCCACCTGCCATGAACGATCCACAACATAGGCGCCTATGACTAGGCGAATCGTGGCCTATGACGGTGTTAAAATCTCAAGCCTATTATGTTAACACGTTTATTGAGGATTCAAGTTCTTAAATTATCAAGTCGCCAGCATTGGTTTGTATTCTTAAACCTTTTCTAAGGTATGTCTAATTTTACATTTAATAAATAGAAGTGTTTCTTTTAATATGTTCGCTACCTTCGTTTTAGGAATGTATTATTTAGCTTTAACCAACTATTTGTTTTAACAGTCTTTCAAATTATCTTCTCCAATTGTATGATCTCGTCCCTATATCTTTTTATACCTATTTGTATCTTTTTAATTTTATATACAAAACATAAATCAGAGAAATGAACGGGTCATATATAGGGATATCTCCCCACCCCCAACCGTCTACTATCTTATTAATGCAGAATAAGGATAAAGTAAATTATCCTAATTTTGGATTCATGTGTCCGAATGTCTTATATTTTATTCCAATATCCGAAGACTACAAACTGCATCACAAATACCAACAGACATTTAGAGGAGTAATTCAAAAACAAGTCTTTTTAACAGAAAGCAGCATATTTTAAAACAAATTTAGCAATTTATTGTAACTAATGACGTTCAAATTTTTCAACGATTTATCAATTTCAGTAAATAAAAGTATTATGCTTTAGTACGTTATGATTTTTAGCGCAATTTCCATTCTGGAGAATTGCGTTTATTAACTCGTAATTTCTGGATGTTTGAATGAATGAATGAATGGATGGATGGATGGATGTGTGTCCGCAGCTTTAAGTCGTATCTCCTCCTCAACGAAGCAATATCGAGGACTAGTTCCAAAGCAATTATGTTAAGTAAGTTACGAGGATGAACATAGGCCAAAAAAATTCCGGGTTTCTTTCATGGATTTCCCGGAAAAGCCAAGAAACCTTGAAAAAATGCAGTTTTTGGCCCATATCTCGGCAACCAGACCACTTAGCGACTTGAAACATGTACCAATCGATTCCTGTCATAATTTAGAACAATATTGCCAAAGAAAGTTTTCAAAAATATCCATTCGTTCGGTCACAAAAAATTTTTTGAATTAATTAAAATTTGGACCGAATTAGTAGGCATTTTTATCCAACCACACCACACGCGTCATCACGTTCAATAGCTGCGCCATTACGTTCAATGGCTGCGACATCACGTTCGGTAGCTAGGCGCGCAATGGTTTTTAGTAGTGTAACTCTATTGTAAATAAAACATGTAAAATACTGAAAAAAATTAATAAAAAACGTTTTAATAACTAACCAATGGTTTTACTAACCCTGCTCTTGATTTACGCTACGACAGAGCTATTTTTAGATAACATAAGGAAATTGCGCTTAAATGTCACTAGACTTTTTAATTAACTTGTTTTTAATAAATGTATTGTAAATGTTTTGTTTTTAGGTGCAAATTGTCAGTATCATATTTTTTTTTGTTTTCTAGTATAATTAATCTTATAACGTACGAGTAAATGTAAATTTGATTTCCAGGCAAATATCACAGCTTAAGATGGGTCAACTCAGGATACAAAACAGCTTCATCTATTTTTGGATTATTTGGCATATTTATCACGTGGTCACAGCTCAGACGTACACCAACGTGACGTCCATCTACAACGACAAAATCATCAACAGCGGCTACAACCCGGAAGTCAGGCCGCTGGTTGACCAGTCCAAGACCATCGTTGTTGACGTCTGGTTTGAGGTGATCTCCATTGTGGAGGTCAATGACGTGGCCCAGAGTTTCACCTGCAACGGGTTCCTGCTGTTCGGATGGAAGGACGAGGTAATTACCGACTGAACATGTGCTGGCTGAAATGGCAGCGCGCAATTTTAGTGTGGTGAAGGTGGAGTCAGTGACATAGCCCCCCTCATCTGAGCATGTCCTCCACCCACCCTCTAAAAAGTGTATGCAATTTACTTAGCATATACAAAGTACGGTGAAGCTCCCTATCGAACCTGGCGGTCCACACAACAGGTGAAGTAGAGTTCACATAACCAGGTGAAGCTTGATTTTGATCTTCGACTAATCTTATTTTAAATCTAACTATACTATTTACCTACCCATATCTGCCAGCTAATTGTCTGGGACCCAAAAGACTACGGAGGACATGAATTGATTCACCCACTGCCAGAAAAGATCTGGAGACCTATGGTCCTGCTGCTCAATACATTGGATAAACGAGATCTATTCGATGACGACAAGTCGTATGTATATTTTTGTTTACATCTTATAAATGAAGTGCTTGTTTTTTGTTTGTTTTTAAAGAAAATGTATGCATCCTGAGATTAAAAATTGTGGAGTTAAAATAATGTTATTTCAAATATTTCAAATTTTTATATCAACAGTTTCAAAGATTAAAGAATGTATTCTAAATAAAAATATGTTGTGTCTCTTATTTTAACTAAATGTTGAAATTCAAATTTAAAAAGTCAGTCCAACTTAGTAGCATGTTGTTATTCGAAAAGGTAGTTCAATAGTAACGTCATGTTTTAATCCTATTTTTATCCTCTTCAAAAAACACTAGTCCAATTTATTTTGCATATTCCCAACATAACAAGAAGTAAAGAGAATTATCCCGTTTCTCAAATTGTGTCTTCATTAAAAATACCAAATTAGTGCCCTATGATGCTGAGATAGCGTGGCCGAGCGGTAACGACTAGACTGATAACCCGAAAAACTCGATTTCGAATCCGAAAATTGCCCATAGGATCGCTAGTTCTAAATTGAAAAATACTTTTTACGTAGTATTGATAATACATAACATACGGACTACTTCCTTACCCGCACCCCTCTTTTTCCCCACACAAACACTTAAGTTTGTAAAAAGCATCAAGCCCCATTGTCAACAAATAATACGATATCAATTCTAAATGGCGTGGAAAATCTACGTTAACAACAACTAGTTGCATCAAACGTAGTAGTATTTTATTACAAGTGTACAAGATCTATACATTGAGATGAGAGTAATACCTGAATCTTTCTCTGCTGCAAGGCCCGTGTTTATCTACAACAATGGGAGCGCTCTGTGGGCCCCGGGCAGTGTGTTTCCTGTCTCCTGTCAGCTGACCATGACCAACTACCCGTTCGATCAACAGGAATGTGTCGTCTATGTAAGTTGTTAAGTAAATCTATGTCATCTATTAAGCTGTAAAGTTAATATGTGTTATTTATGTAAGTTGATTAAAATAAAATATATCATCAATGTAGGTTGTAAAGTCAATGTAAGTTGGTTAAATCAAAATATATTATGAATGTACGATTTTCCAATCTATAGGCCCATTTGTCATCTGCGTAAGGTCTTCAAAATTTATGTTTTATCTATCTAAATTTTTTCAATCAGTACGTGCTTTTTGCAAATATTTTAATTCACGAAAGATATTTAAACCGTAATGTTTCATATATGTAAGTTTATTTAATTCAAAATGTATCACTTTTGCTATCAATCAAAATTATTCATCTAGGAGAGAAAGATACTCATTAAAAAAATATGTCTACCTAGTATTTCTTCCGTGGATTGCACAAGCCAAGAAAACAAATGTATAATTATAAAATGGCTAAAATCTGAGTCGACATGCAACCCTTAATTAAGTAGGATGAAATCCCATCCCGTCAAACGTTACAATTACAAAACGAAGAAGAAAAAGTCAAAGGCTTATATTGACAACGGCATTTCGCTTGTATCATGTAGCTTAACAGATGCCATTTATATTAAATTTTTATGATCTACTTGTCATTCATCTCGTCAGATGACAGCTTTGACATTAAATAAAGACGAAATGCAGTTCAAGAATACAGTACCTACCATAGGCACTTCATTTTACACACTACATGGTGAATGGGATCTGATATCAGGAACTATCATTACATCTAACCTATCGTCAGGGGTCGTTCAGGTCCCAACATTTCAGGTCAGTTGTCAGTTGTCAGGGATCTTAAAGTTCCCAATATTCCAGATATATTGCACGCTGAGGTGGAAAAAGGTTCCAACATTTCAAGTCCGTTGTCATGTCAGGAATCATGTAGGTGCCGACAGTATATAATATATATATATATATATATATATATATATATATATATATATATATATATATATATATATATATATATATTATATAGGTGCCTACTTTTCAAGTCAGCTTACCTACTATACCGAAATTTGTTTCGTATTTATAAAACACGAATTAGGAATGTTATGACTTAGACTTTTGGCTTATTAGTTAGGACTAATTAGTCTCAGCTAAATTCTTATTGTTTAGATTCCTAATGAGTAAAGACAGGTTTAAATATCAATAGCAAAAAAAAATGTCAAACGATCTGAATTACATAGCTAGAACTTGTACAAAGTAAAATCATTAAAGGCAGTAAAGACATTTAAAACTATGATTTGATTATTTGTAATGCATATAAATCACGCTTTTTATGCCGATCCACTTTTTTACAGCTGAAGTTTAATCTAAAAAGACGGCCGATATTTTTGATCGTCAACATTATACTGCCAGTCGTGTTCTTGTCATTCCTCAATATACTCGTCTTCATCATTCCTGTTGAGTCAGGGGAGAAAATCGGCTACGGTAGGTAACTCTGGACAAGTTATGTCCCCTTTATAGTATGAGCAGCGGTAGAATTAGAATGGGCAGCATTATACGGGAAAATATTTTCTGTAGCCGAACAAGAGTTTTTGTTTCTTTTAATTTTTTTTTTCAATTTGTAAAATAACAAGATTTTAATGTCAATGTTAGATGGAATTTATCAAGCATTCAAAAAAGCAGTAAAGACAACTGTGCCCATGATACATAAAGAAACGTAAAATAGCTGCTGCATAAAAAAACAATGCAAGCTTTTTAAAAATTCTTCTGATTACGACTTGAATTCATAAACATTTCACAAACAAACAAAAATTTTTTTGAATTCATAAACTATTACATTTTTTAACATTAAAGATTTAATAATGTTTAGGTGAGCAACAACGTCTAAACAATCTTTTGATACGAAAATATAACAATAAAAAACAAACTCGCATGCAAAACAGAATAAAAAGGAAATTTACAAAAATATTTCAACGAAGATAAATATCAATAGGTTTGTGATGAGCTTATTCAGCTTATCCATTCTCTTCTTTTTACTTACATTGTCAACCAATCTCTGAACACCAAAATACAAATCTATGCAATCTGATACATGGGCTAAGTTTTACTATTAGATCGATCACACGAATATTAACTCACAACACTTACCTATGAACCTACAATTGCTCACATCAAGCTATGACATCTGACACTACAATTGTTTATCTGAAGAACTGCCCCTTGAACTTTTCTGACCTCTGTCCCACACTTTTTTACTAGTACCTCTGACATATAAACTCCACAATTGTTTACTCAGTTTTCTGACCTCTGACCCTACAACTGCTAACTTCCAGGTATCACCGTATTGCTGGCACTGTCCGTATTTATGAGCATAGTAGGCGGGATGCTGCCCAGGTCATCACTGTCCATGCCCAACGTCACCATCTACCTCTTCATCTTGCTCATTATCTCCATGTTGACCGTTATCGATAGTATCGTCATCGTCTACCTCTCACACAAGGAGGAGGTGAGTAAATGAAATTGGCAATTGAACCATATCACCTCACTTGAATATATATAAAGGAAATATATTCCTTTTCGAAAAAAACCCTAACTAGAAACAACCAAAGCCAAAACAAACACAAACGCAAACACGAACATAAACGCAAACACAAAAACAAACGCAAACGTAAACACAAATAAAAACACAAACGAAAACACAAACCCAAAACCAAAACAAGACACAAACGCGAAAACAAACACAAACACAAACTCAAACGCATAAATGAACGCAAACAAAAATGCAAGCATAAACATCAACGCAAACATAACCGCAAACACAAAAGCAAACACAAACACAAACGACTATTATACCCCAATTTTGTCCGCAAACCGAAAGATAGAAGAAAACATATCGGGCATTCAGGAGCCGCTTTTAAACTGTTACTGATAAAAAATTATGTTTAATATTTACACATTTAATATTTAAAAATAATATTTAAAATGTCCGTGTTTTACCTACCACACTGCACTTTATCAATCCATGCTGATTATATATATATTTTTTTCCAACACTAAAACAAACTAATAATAATTCCCCCCCCCCAACTTTCGGATGAAATGTTATTTTTTAAAGTAATATTTTTTGTTATTTATCAAGATAAGTAATTGGCAATAAAGGAACAAAGGGACGTATTTTGTTCACTTTTAAAATTTTTGTGAAAGTAGATACATTTACTATGACTTTGTTTATTTCACATGACGTGAATTAAAATTAAACGTTTGGGAAATAAAATTTGTTTAACAAATCCTTATAAAATAATGTTTTAACATTATTAATTTAGACAATAAAAACTTTAGGTGTATTACACTATGGCGATCAAGTCGAGTTTTTTACTGTATACTTTACCAATGGTCCGTTCGCCCGTCCGCTGTCAAATACATATAGAGGCACAGAACCCGTTTGATATATATATATATATATATATATATATATATATATATATATATATATATATATATATATATATATATATATATATATATATATATATATATACCTAACTATTGTCTCATCAATCAGAGAGAACAGGTACATCTGAACGCCAAGAGAAAATTTAAAGAAGCTTTTACCAAAGTTAAAAACTCGGTCGCGCCTCAGAACAACGAGACTTCCACCAGCGATAGCAAAGTGTCGAGTAAGAAAATAACACTGGATAGAGCGGTTCTGTCATTCACTTCTGGGTCTCAGAACGAAGAGAAACCGGAAGTAAACAAGTACAAGGTGATCGGAAAATACATGGATAAAGTTTCTTTTGTGGTGTTCATGTTGATTTGGATCAGTGTTACACTTGGGTTTTTAATATTCGCATCCCAGTCTTAGGGACTAGAACTAATATAGTCGTGGTCCTAGTTTAGGTCCACTGGAACAGAGTCTTGGTCGAAGTCTTAGGTCCACAATGGAACGTACAGTATCGTGGTCCCATTCTGAGGTTCACTAGAACTAACAGACACTTGGTGCCAGTCTCAGTTCCACTAGAACCAACAGACTCGTGGTGCCAGTTCCACTAGAACTAACAGACTCTTGGTCCACTAGACTTGTCATTTCCATCAACCACTCTGGACAGAACGATCCGTTTGAGATTCGGGATAAACATTTGTGTCTATTTAGTGACAAAGTTTTTAATTTAGTACAATGAACTATTAATTGACTACTGTAAATAATTCTAGCGCATTTGTGTTTAAATGTGTGTGTGTGTGTGTGCAATAGAGAGAGGTGGGGGCTGTGTGTATGTGTGCCTGTGTATGAATGTTTGTGTGTGTATGAATGTTTGTGTGTGTGTGTGTGCACGTGTATGACTAACTTAGTTTAAGTCAGTACCCACCTTTTTGTAATGCAAGTAACATAATGTGCATAATGTGTCTTCATGATATTACGATATTTAATGTTATATTAATTAATTTAATATTTATTTTGAAATAGTTGCTAGATATTTTTTAAAATAAACATATGCCAGCTTCATCCAGGTTCTGACATATTGCCTACAATTTATGATAAACTGTCATATTGTGATATTGTGTATAGTTTTAAATTTTACAATAAACATACAGTATTTTCCCATTCCTGGTATATATTGCATGCATTTTAAAATAAAACAATACATTTCAACTAAGATGACATAACACCTTGTGGAGTATAGGGGTTCAACCATTTCCTTCCATTTTTTCCGGTCCCCGGATGTTGATTTTACAATCTCCCAAGACATCCCTTCTGTCTTTAGTTCTTCAAGAAGACTCCGGCGCCAATATAATGAACATCACGTATGTCAGAGACAAAATAGCCAATTTTTAATTCAGGAATTATTCCAGTTTCAATTGTGTGTTATGGTGTTGTCCTGATAGTGTGTCCATCATATGGATATTTGAAAATGACGTTTTCAAGTCAAAGGTCACAACCACATTACTTTCAACTTGGACTTCCATTTGTGTTGGTGTTGTATTTCTAAAGCAATATTTGTATTTTATTTTCGTCTTATATTTGTTTGTTTTATACTTTTGTAATGTGTTTGTTTTATGAAATAGAATTACATCTTAATTTTGAACCTGGCGGTCAATAATGGACCTCGGAACATGAAGGGATATTATGATCAGCACTATGCTCAAGCGTTGGTTTCCTTGATGTAAGCTTTACGTGTTGAATGGCGTTAACTAACCCATAATGCAATCACTAGACCCAGCTAACACATCGGCCACCATATAAAAATACTTCTATTTCAATCCGGCCGTGATTTTCAGAACGATCAATTAAGTTAACGAACAAATCAATCTCACAACCATATGAATTAATTCGACACACGATACATCCGATTAGACGTACCATGGCCTCTTATTTTTACACTATAAGCCATTGTCAGAGGCGTCTCTCTCTCTCTCTCAAACTCTCTTTTTATATGTTTGTTTATATATATATATATATATATATATATATATATATAAATATATATATATATATATATATATATATATATATATATATATATATAAATATATATATATATATATATATATATATATATATATATATATACACAAAATCTTGTGTTTTATTACAGTTCTTGGGGTGGCGGGGGTTTACTAGAAATGATATATGACATGAAGGGCTGTGTAGACGTAAGAAACGTTAAGTCATATGTCACGGGTTATCAGTGAAGCAAAAGCATGGGCCTAACTTGGATGAATCGTGCAAAGCCGAGTAAGATGGAGATGTGTGTGTTGCGTCATTATGCTTCAAAAGGATTCCACACGAATGAAAATGTTGATGCCGATCAGGGTTAGAAGCGTGTCGAGCTGTCGTAGTTTTGTGACATAGGCCTACATTATGTACACGATCCTTAAGAAACTCGTCAAAGTTTGCTTTTGCATGGGCCTCGCTAATTTTTAAAACATAATGCAGTAATATTTCACAATTACCTTCAGATAATTTTTTGTTCAAATACAAATTTATTCAAACTACATCATCCCTACTCAAAATACATGGAAGACTAAACTGTTAGTTAATTAAAAACAAACATACGGGACTCTGATTATATCCATATTTCCCCACCCAGCCTTTAATTATGGACACGCCCCTGTATCAATGGGCTGTGACTTCACGTTATGGTGACAAACCCCCCGCACCCCCGCACACACACAGCCCTACCCCCACCTGAATGATCCACAACATAGGTGCCTATGACTAGGCGAACCGAAACATAGGTGCCTATGACGCAGCGAGCTAGGGCACATGATCCAATGACGGTGTCGAAATCTCCAGTCTATTCTAAACACGTTTAGTTGAGGATTAAAACTAACACGTTGCTAGCATTGTTTGTATGCTGAAATATTTGTAAGGTATGTGTTATTTTGCTTTTAGTAAGTACTGTTTCTTTTAATGTTCTTTATTGTTGCTCTTTTCTTTAGGAATGTATCATTTAGCTTTAGCCCAGTAGTATCTGCTGTAGTAGTCTTTTATCCTATTCTTCCCTTTTAATTTTATGATCTCGTTTCTATTTCTAATTTATACAATTTTTTACCTTTTTTTTTTCTATCTATAAAACAAAATCCTCATACTGAAAGATATACTTATAGCGACAACACCTCCCACATTCCATCAAATTAATTCAAAATATTAATAAAATAAACTATCTTAGTTTTTTATTCGTCTGTGCATGCGTCTTATTTTATTAAATTTTGAGTTTTTGTAAACTAAATTAAATTGCTCTCTTCTTATTAAATTAGTTTGTGATTTTAAATATTAAGTCTCTTCTCTTGGAAAAAAAAAACCTATCAACAATTACTTTCTTGTTTATAAAGTTAAAACATTAAAACAACATCTAAAGAATACATTACACATACCAACACACGTTTGTTGCTATTTTGAGAGCCGATATATTTTCTGCATATGTTCATTATTTTAATTTAAAGAATAGTACTCAAAATCTTATTACATTAGCAATTTTAACAATATATTGTAACACACGATGCGTTGTAATTTTTCAATATATAGGCCTATATTAAACATTGTTAGTGATAAAAAGGAGTCGGTAATACTAAACTATAATTTGTAATATTATTGTTATTGTGTCGGTTTTTAAAGTGCAAAGTAACAGTATACTAAAGTTTTTGTTTTCTAGAATAATTAGCATAATAACATAACAGTAAATGTATTTTATTTTTTAGTCAAACATCACATGGGTCTACTCAGGATACAATACAGCGTGATCTATTTTTGGATATTATGCCATACTTGTCACGTGGTCACAGCTCAGACGTACACCAACGTGACGTCCATCTTTAACGATAAAATTACCAACAGCGGCTACAACCCGGAAGTCCGACCTTTAGTTGACCAGTCCAAGGCCATCGTTGTTGACGTCTGGTTCGAGCTTGTTTCCATCGTGGAGGTTAATGACGTGGCCCAGAGTTTTACCTGCAACGGGTTCCTGCTGTTTGGGTGGAAGGACGAGGTAACGGTCGTCTCTACGGGACTATCTATCTAACGATCAAAGTTTCTTTCATGCAATGGGAGGGGGAGGAACTGACACAAACCCTTAAAAATGTCCACCGCCCACCCCGGAAAAACGGATATGTTATTTTTTAGTCTGTTTTTAACTAAAGTAGTTCGTCTTCTGTTTTAATAACATATTTTTTTTAAAATCGTTTTTAATTTTAATTGTTTAAATTGCTTTTTAGTTATTAGACTCAAAATATGAAAAGTTTATAATAGTAGGCTTTGTAATCGTACAAATGTTTACTTGGTTTTAAAAAAAAAACCAACTTCTCTCTTGTGTTAGCGCTAGTTTGATTGACAATTAGAAAACAATAATCTGCTTTTCTTTTAGGATTTGCTTCCATAGCCTATGTCCAACCAAGAACAAACTACAAGGCAGCAGTTGTTTAATTTTTTGGAGTTGTCTCTCCTATAGAAGTGGCTGTCCCCAGTTAAGGAACCTCATCTGCCCGAGGGTTCGAACTCGAGACAATTCGGATTAGCAACCATGAGCTTTACCGACACCACCACGCCGACCCCTTATTAAATTTACATATATTATATACCTATTACATACCTACCCATCTCTGCCAGCTGATTGTTTGGGACCCACGCGACTACGGAGGACATACATTGATTCATCCACTGCCAGAACAGATCTGGAGACCTATGGTGCTGCTGCTCAATACCTTGGATAAACGAGATCTATTCGATGACGACAAGTCGTAAGTAATTTGTATTACTATTTTTAAAAATATAGTTTTTTTTAAAGAAAATTTAAACGTTGTGCAATTTAAAACTTGTGAAGTTAAAATCTTATTACTTAAGTTATTATAATATTTATAATATTTATATTTAAAAGATTAAAGAATGTATTCTAAATTATAAAAAAATATCACTATCGATTATGTGTAGTTTATATAAGTGTTGATATGAAAATTAAAACTATTCAACGTGTACTGCAGTTTTACTTTACTAGAAAAGGCAGTCAAATTATTAACGTCATGTTTTTATTCTGTATTCATCCCTCGTTACAAAAGGCTTGATCCACATTACCTCCCGTCATCCCAAATAAATGGGACTACGTGGCCTACATGTAGAGTGCTAGGCTGCACACGCGAAAGTTTTGAGTTCGAATCCGGGTTCAAGTCAGTAAAACGTTCACGAGTCACCCAGCTTTGATGGGCAACTATCTCACTTTAGGGAAAGCAAAAAGGCTGGGCATAGTGTTGACCACACTATCACTTCATATGCCGAGACCTTGGAACATATGAACTCTGCCCCATTTGTCTAGGGCACGAACGAGAAAAAATGATGATTCGAAATAAAATAAATAATTAACCTTTTTTTTGTTCTCAATATGTACTTGTTATAAAAGTTAGAAAATAAATGCGTAACGATAGTTACTACTTTCTTGCCCCCACTCCACACAGTCTAAACATATTCAGGGTATGACGTCCATAAAAATATAACATCTGTTGTAAATGACGTGGAAAAATAAAATAGACTACCAGCTTCACGATCTCTAAAATTAGGCCCATAATACAAGCGTGCTAGATCAGATTAATTGTGAGTAACACCTGAATCTTTCCTTGTTGCCAGGCCCGTGTTCATCTACAATAATGGGGATGCCATCTGGGCCCCGGGCAGTGTGTTCCCAGTCTCCTGTCAGCTGACCATGACCAACTACCCGTTCGATCAACAGGAATGTTCCATCTATGTAGGTTTTTAAGTCAATATAATTATGCCATCTGTACGTTTATTAAGCCTATTTATGGTATTTATAAAAACAGTTCTGTAGACAAATTATTGTTTTTCTAAAAATATATCAATAATAAATATATTTTTATCAACGCACATGTCAAGATCTGAACATTTTCAATTTTTACTTTCTCATATATACGAAGTATAGAGAAAGTCATGTAATCGTGCAAAAAACAATCGAGATTTCTGCAACTCTCGACGTTTTACAGCTCCCAGAGTTAGAAAAACTTCATTTTGCAATCTTTTGTCCGTATGTCTCTGTGTGTGTATGTGTGTGTGTGTATGTGTGTGTGTGTGTGTATGTGTCTGTGTATGTGTGTGTCTTTGTATATACTTCGTATATACGAGAAAGTAATAATAGCTAAATTACTATTATTTATTGTATTTGTTTTTTTTTATGTTTATAGCCTTTGTTAAACCAAAAGTTATTTTGAGCTTATTTCCGAAATAAAATATTCAATTTTGGGTTTAAAATATGCTTTTTGGCAACAATCGTTAAGAACCATTTGGAACCAGCTTTTCAAGCCTATTTTGTTGGGCGGAATACCGTCTAACATTACAATTAGGGAGAAGAAGAATTATATGTCTTAAACATATATTGACAACTGATTTAGCTTATAACTTAACAGATGACATTTATATTAAATGTTTATATTATACTTGTCATTTATCTCGTCAGATGACAGCTTTGACATTAAATAAGGACGAAATGCAGTTCAAGAATAAAGTACCTACCATAGGCACTTCATTTTACACGCTACACGGAGAATGGGATCTGATATCAGGAACTATCATTACATCTAACCTATCGTCAGGGGTCGTTCAGGTCCCAACATTTCAGGTCAGTTGTCAGTTCAGGGATCGTAAAGGTCCCAATATTCCAGATAAATTGTCACACTGAGGTCCCAACATGTCAGGTTAGTTGTCAGATTAGGGAACTAGAGGTCCCAATAGTCCATAAACTTTGTCACACTTAGTTCATTCACGTCCCTTCATTTCAAGTCAGTTGTCAGTTCAGGGATCGTAAAGGTCCCAATATTGCAGTTAAATTGTCACACTGAGGTCCCAACATGTCAAGTTAGTTGTCAGATTAGGGAACTAGAGGTCCCAATAGTCCATAAACTTTGTCACACTTAGTTCGTTCAAGTCCCTTCATTTCAAGTCAGTTGTCAGTTCAGGGATCGTAAAGGTCCCAATATTCCAGTTAAATTGTCACACTGAGGTTCCAACATGTCAGGTTAGTTGTCAGATTAGGGAACTAGAGGTCCCAATAGTACATATACTTTGTCACACTTAGTTCATTCACGTCCCTTCATTTCAAGTCAGTTGTCAGTTCAGGGATCGTAAAGGTCCCAATATTGCAGTTAAATTGTCACACTGAGGTCCCAACATGTCAGGTTAGTTGTCAGATTAGGGAACTAGAGGTCCCAATAGTCCATAAACTTTGTCACACTTAGTTCGTTCAAGTCCCTACATTTCAAGTCAGTTGTCAGTTCAGGGATCGTATGTGCCCCAATAGTCCAGATAAATTGTCACGCTGAGGTTGTAGAGGTCCCAACATTTCAGGTCAGTTTACCTCTGGTACTGACATTTTTTTCTCATTTATAAATAATGATTTTTGAATGTTTTGACATAGACATTTTAATTAAGACTAATTATTTGAGAGAAAACTGTAATTGTTTAGATTCAAAATAAGTAAAGACGTTTCATAATTATAAAATGATGTTAAAAATTTCTTCCGATTTTAAATGAAACAGCAAAAAAAACAACAACCTGAATTAGATCACTAGAACCACAGTTTTAAAGAAAGTAAAGACAAAAAGAGCAATAAAGATGTTTAAAACAATGTTTCGATTTTTAGACATGTATATACATCACGCCTTTGTTATGCCGATATACCTTTTTTCAGTTGAAGTTTAATCTAAAAAGACGGCCGATATTTTTGATCGTCAACATTATACTGCCTGTCGTGTTCTTGTCATTCCTCAACATACTCGTCTTCATCATTCCTGTGGAGTCGGGGGAGAAAATCGGCTACGGTAGGTAACTTTGGACATTTTTTAAATCCTTAAACACAAAGATACAAATCTACGTACTCTTAAACATGTTTATGCTTTGCTACTGGCTTGATCACACATTTGTTACCACACAATTCAGATCTCTGACCCCATAATTATTTACACTCAGTTCCGATCTAACAACTGTTAACTCACCATTATATTTTCTCTCCCCCCCCCCCAATTATTTAACAACGTTTATAATCTCTGCCCCCCACGCTTTGCTAACTTCCAGGTATTACCGTGCTTCTCGCATTGTCTGTTTTTATGAGTATCGTAGGGGGCATGTTGCCCAGGTCATCACGATCCATGCCCAACGTCACCATCTACCTCTTCATCTTGCTCATCATCTCCATGTTGACCGTCATCGATAGCATCGTCATCGTCTACCTCTCACACAGGGAGGAGGTGAGTGTGTATCTGGGCAATAGAACAATATTCAGTAACACCCATGTTAGTGATATTTTATATATATATATATATATATATATATATATATATATATATATATATATATATATATATATATATATTTATTTATATATATATATATATATATATATATATATATATATATATATATATATATATATATATATATCAATTTGTAATCCACTTTTTATTGTAATTGCTGGTTCTATTTTTTTACTGAACAGAGAGAACAGGTACATCTGAACGCCAAGAGAAAATTTAAAGAAGCTTTTACCAAAGTTAAAAACTCGGTCGCGCCTCAGAACAACGAGACCTCTACCAGCGATAACAAAGTGGCCAGAAAGAAAATAACGCTGGATAGAGCGGTTCTGTCCTTCACATCCGGGTCCCAGAGCGAAGAGAAACCGGAAGTAAACAAGTACAAGGTGATCGGAAAATACATGGATAAAGTTTCTTTTGTGGTGTTCATGTTCATTTGGGTCAGTGTTACACTTGGGTTTTTAATCTACGCATCCCAGGACTAGAACAAAAAAAAACTCGTACATTTTAGATTTTGGAAAAATATATGTGTCTGTGTTACATAGTTTTTAATTGAGTAAAATAAACTATTAATTGACCACTATAAATAATTCTAGTGCATTTGTGTGTAAGTGTCAAAGAAGGGCTGGCAATGAGTTTATGTGTGCATGTGTGTGTATGTGTATGAGTGTATTACAACAAACATAACTTATTTTATGTTTTCTAATGGTATTACGATATTTACGTTAATATTTTTACTATATTATTTTACGATAAACATAAACGAGATTCAGCGAGGTTGTGGCATTATTGGCTGCAATTTATGATTAACTGTGATGTTGTGATATTGTATATAGTATTACATTTTAAAATAAACATATAGTTGTATTCCAAGTTCTCGTATCTATTGCATATATTATGAAGTAAAACAATACATTTCAACTTATATGACTTGACTTACTTGACAAAATCATCTATACTTCTTGTGGCGCCAACGGCTATTAATTTTGCAGCCTCCCAAAACAGCCTTGCTGATAACAGATGTATTATCTTCTTTAACATTCTTTGCTATTATTCTATATTTTAATTTTTAAAATTGGATATTAGCCTATAAGCAATTCAACTTATATAAATAAAATGCCCGTTGAAGCTAATTAAAAGACAGAGAGCATTCCTTGTTAAAAGTCTTAATTGAGATAAATAATAAAATAAATTTCCTTGACCATATTACTAAATCAAGTCGTATTTTTAAAATTGATTTTAAAAATAAAAATACAGATTTTTATCACAATTAAATTTGTTGATAGAAAAGTTGATAATTTCGTCCCACTCTAAACTTGCCTGGTGTCGTATAACATGCACTAAAACTAGCTATGTGGGCTTATTTAATATCCCTAAAGTATCATTCGATGTTTTACATGAACAAGCATAAAACCCACTACTTTCAGCTAGCAACCGGTCATTCATTACCCTGATTGTTTGTTTACAATTCTGAGCCTAATTGTTTCTATTTTCATACATAATTAATTGAAAATCGTCCACCGTTAAAAATCTACTGGGCAGTCATTCTATGATGAATTAGGTTTAAGCGCGAACGATGAAACTTAATTTAATTGTCCCTGGACCCACAAACATTTTAAAACAAGGCTCGGCATCAAAAACTCGTTTAACTAATTGACATAAGGCACATTAAGCATTAAACCTATTTTGACTTTAATTCCAACTTGGTTACAGGAAGAAATAGTAATATATATATATATATATATATATATATATATATATATATATATATATATATATATATATATATATATATATATATATATATGTAGATCATACACAGGTATCGATATTATAGATGGGGGAAGGCGTGGTCTGGCGTAAGAGGATTTCAATGTGAACACTAAATGTCTAGAGTTCGTACCTTTGGGTTAATAAGGCTCATTTGCTAAGTACTATAACCCATCTCGGAGAGAAAACTTCAAAACCAAACAACTGCTGCTCTTTAAATAGCTTTTGTGTGGAAAAAAACATTTACTGAGAAATCTACAAAAAACGAATCTTACAGCGCATTGCCTTGGGTTTTCAAATGTGTTGGAGGATATCCCTCAAATATATCATTTAAGAAAGGAGAATAAGATAGCATAGATCTTCTAAATGCAATCAAAACGGATCTTAGTGTAACATTGCCTTAAAAAATGTCATCAGAACATCATTATATCATCACCAAAATTATCATGTCAGAACAACTTCATCAAGACATCAGAACATCATCGTAATATTCGCACAACATTTAACGAGCGTGATAGTTTAATTAGAGTTTCACTCCAACCGACATTGTCACTACTTTTAACCAGATCTAACCAGATTTCACCGCTTAGGTACATCCGTTCTAAAAAAACCACGCGCAATTGCCGTCAATTAGCAGTGTGATTAATCATCAGTTAACTGCTTGCGGGGTCGATAGTGTTAGCTATTGTGTAGCTGAGAGGCCGATTTCAGTGTGGTGATAAAATGTGTCCTTGTTCCAATGAGCAACACAGTTTTCTTTGTTCTTGTTGTTACCAAAAATAAATTAAAATTGATGATTTGTAAAAAAAAAAAACACAACATCATGGTATTACCACACATAAAAAAACGCTTAAAAAGGGAAGGTCGCTAAGACATTTACGTATGCATACAAGGAAAATGCGCACTCAGAAATGAGTTCTCAAATATGAACATATATTTGAAATGAATGTTATAGTTAAGATAATTGGGCTAGTTGTTACGAATGTGCTTGTGATTTTTTTTTTGGTAAAATCTCATCATTACGAGATAAAAGTATTTTTTACAATTTTTCAATACAATAGCCAACATAGGTTTTAGCTACTTTCGGTTTAGATTGTATCCGGAAATGCAACACAAATCAAATTATATATATATATATATATATATATATATATATATATATATATATATATATATATATATACATATTTACCGGTCATATTACGTTAACTTGTTAATTATTTGATGCTTATATTATTGTGATAAGAATTGTATAACAGCTCCCCTATTTCTGTTATAGACAGATTATTTCTGAGTTAATAGTCCGAGTTGTTATCGTTTACAAAAGCCATGGATAGCTCCTGCGATGTGGGTTACTATGCCATCGACGTTAGACTCTATTATACAACAAGTCAACACAAATCAATCACCATGACAACCAAGTTCAGGGCTCATTAAAAATTCCATTAAACCCTCAGCGTACAGTTTAAAACCCTGCGATCAAATGCTGGTTTTGAAAATACATGTTCCGACCACTTGACTAATTCGCTTGTGTTTACAAATCGTGAGTGCATATGTTCGACAGTGCGCGTGATTGCCTGATGGCGTTGTGTAACGGTTGAACAATCAAGCCTCCAGGTCATAGACAAGATCTGGAAACCACGTGATGTCATCAAGCTAATTGATTGATAGTTATGTTAACGCATACCCTAAGTATAAAAGTTAACTTTATCATTAGAGAGTGGAAGTCCAACCAAGTTTTGTGATAAATGATAATGTTGTTTCCATCATATGGTATATTTTATAACTCAACAATTTCATCTGCTCATTCGAACTGCTTTTTGTGTGTTATCAGTTAATTAATAAAATTTCTAACGTGCCTATTGTCCTTTACAACTAATCTACTACTAATCTGAATGTGGTTCTATAATATGGTATATTTTATAACTTCACAATGATGAACGTTTCTTCTACGTAATTGATATGTTTCCATGTGTTATCATTTACTTTTATTTCGTTAGAATGTGACTATTTGTACCTTATAACTAATCTACACTAATCTGTAAGAGCTTCCTTATTTATTGGTATTGATCTTTGTAGGAATAAAACTAATTTATTATAAAATTTGAAACTAAATTATTTTTTTCGCACCCTTTAATTAAATTAGGTAATATTTAAATAAACTACGTTGTCATTTATCAAACTAAGTTACCGTCAGTTTATCTACTAGTTTCAGTTACTATGTCATATTCTTATCGATTAGTTTTACTGGAATAATACTATTTTAATAAAAGGTAATTAAGGCATTTTAAATTATTCAGTATATTTTATTTTAGAAAAGATTGATATTGCTGATTACTGCACCTTACCTCACAGCAATATATTCTAAGCCTCAAATCTTTTGATAGGAGCAAGGTCCCCTTTATAGAGTTCGATATGCTTTCGTAGATGCGAAATTATTTTCTGTTTTTTTAATATAAATTGAGTATAATGTTCTTGTATTGATGAAAAGTTATTTCTTTTATTTGTTTTTACAGTTATGTGGTTTCTTCGATACAATCTAGTTAGAGATTAAAAATTAAGTACAATCTTTATTATGGCATTCTTGCTTGAATTTTCGTAACACAATGTGACTGTGTACCCAGACATCCCCGTGCTGTATCGTACACGATGTTTTGAAATCAGTCAGGTAATATTCTAGTACACATTAGATATCGTCCACACTCGATTGACCACTACTTGACCTGTGTATCAACACAACTGTGTCAATATTAAGGTCAGTACACGCCATGCTGTTGTTGTTTACTGTCCTGGTCACGTGTTGGTCACTCGCGGTCAGCCTGACCTACAACAGCACCAAGGCCATCCTCACAGACAGGTACGGGGCTGGACGGTACCACAAGGAGGTCGTGCCGTTGCTGGACCAGTCCAAGGCTATCCAGGTCAACGTGTCGTTTGAGCTGGTGTCGCTAGTGGAGGTGGATGATGTGGCCCAGAGATTTACCTGTAACGGTTTCCTCATGTTCCAGTGGGTGGATGAGGTAGGTTTTACCCGGAAACGTAAGATTATTCTCGCCGAAGTATTAGGTGTAATTTCAATAAAATGTAGTAATTGCTTTTTTTTGTTTTACAATGTGCATAAGATTTGAAAAAAAAAACTGCTTCAATTTCACTGATTTTGCTAGTGACCAGTTATTTTTCTTTTACCCACAGTAGGTCGCTAGTGTATAGATTATCTATAACCCATGACAGATTATCCCAACATGTCCTCAGATGGCGGCCTGGGACCCCTCCGACTACGGCAACCAGACGATGGTCCACCCACTGCCGGAAACAATATGGCGGCCACGAGTTATTCTGATGAACACCATGGGGGACAGGGACCTGTTCCAGGACGATAAGGCGTAGGTCACCCTGACATCGTATTTAAAAGCAGGAGAAAATTAAAGCAGGACTAACTTAAAGCAGGAGTAACTTAAGCAGGACTAACTTAAAGCAGGAGTAACTTAAAGCAGGAGTAACTTAAAGCAGGACTAACTTAAAGCAGGACTAACTTAAAGCAGGAGTAACTTAAGCAGGAGTAACTTAAAGCAGGAGTAACTTAAATCACAGTGGTACATTAAGATACGAGTTTAATTCGTTAAATAACATTGCTCGTATGTCGAATTATAAAAGCAATCTTCACTATTGAAATCAATTGATGTGAGTTTAATTTCCATTCCAGCTCCTAAAATGCTATCCAGTTGTTTTAGTTACGCTTTTAAAAAATAAAATTAAAAGCATTTATACATGACGAATATTCCTAAATAAACTAATAAAGGATAATTGAGATGAAATAAACTGGTTTTTAAAAGTGTACTACTTTTGAAAAAAAAAAGCCAAATTTAGCTTACGTAAGATGCTGGTGAAGGATTGGCGGAGGAGCTTTACTTTGTTCACTATCTTAATGTTAATGCTAAGCTCTTTCGGTCACTTAAATTCACTTACTCGTTACACTCTTAACTTAACATAGTTGAACCTGTTACTATTTAATGCTATGTCAATTTAGCTTAATTTTTCTCTTGGCTGGTCTTTGCTTTTTTCTCGCCACGCTCTCTCACTTTTTTTCATTTTTCCACACATAGCCGTTAAAATAAACATGTCCAAAGAGGTTTGTTTTGTTTTTCCCTCCCTTCCATAATGTTTCGGAAATAAGTTAGGTAAGAGCCATTAAATAATCAGTTTCAACTTTTTCGGCGTGTATTTTTTCCGCTTACTAGTACCTACAATTTTGCTCGGACGTTCAAATCAATTTATAGCTCTTTCGAAAGCTCGTGTCTTTAAAAACTCGTATGTCAAAGTTCTCGTAAGCTGAGTTTCCACTGTTTGAGGTATTTGATGAATGAAACTACGCAAACTGATTAAAATTGTAACGAGTATAAATAGTTAATAGTAAAATCTTAAAATATAACATTATGGAAAAGTAAAATAATTGCTCAAAGAAAATATAATTTGAATTGACGAACAAAATTGAACGACATGAAATAATAGGCCGCTGATAAAAATAATTAAGTTAAAATGACATTGTCTCTGCCCCCAGCCCTGTGTTTGTCGAGTCGGATGGCAGCACACTCTGGGCACCGGGCAGCTTGTTCCCCGCCTCCTGTCAGCTCAAGATGGAGAACTACCCGTTTGACCAGCACTCGTGTGTCATCCAGGTAGGTTTATGTCCGTATCACGTGATCCAGGTAGGACTGTGCCACATGATCCAGGTAGGTCTGTGTCAGTATCACGTGATCCACGTAGGTCTGTGCCACGTGATCCAGGTAGGTCTGTGTCAGTATCACGTGATCCACGTAGGTCTGTGCCACGTGATCCAGGTAGGTCTGTGTCAGTATCACGTGATCCACGTAGGTCTGTGCCAATTGATCCAGGTAGGACTGTGTCAGTATCACGTGATCCAGGTAGGTCTGTGCCATGTGATCCAGGTAGGTCTGTGTCAGTATCGCGTGATCCAATCCAGGTAGGTCTGTGTCCATGTAAGTGGTCCTTGTAGACCAGAGTCAGTATGAGATGGTACTTGAATGTATGTGTCATGGCACATTTGTTCGTTACGACGTGATCTTGCTGGGGTCTGTGTCAGTGTCACTAAGACATGTTAAGTTTTTGTCAGTCTTTTTTCTTTCCTTCTTCGTTCTAAACTATAATGCTTTAAGGGATTTCATTTACCACAATTGAACGTTAACCATATTAAGCTTCTTATGGACCATTGGCTCTGATTTCAATTTTCTTTTCTTTCTAGATTTGCCTAAACAGCCTTTTCTATCAAAGGACAAACTATAAGTCATCCAATTCTGAAATTAAAAAATTGACTTAAAGTTAAACTCTACAACCAAAATACTGCTAAACTTCACTGTTAAACTTATATTTAACTCGACAAACAAAAGACGGTTACATTTGACTTTTAAACTTGACTGTTAAACTTGACTGGTAAACCTGACCGTTAAACCTGACTATATCCTCAGCTTGTAGCCATGACGTTGTCCACAAGGGAGCTAGAGTTTGTTGCGACAACTGACTCTGTGGGCGAGGTGTTCTTTATCCTCAATGGAGAATGGGATCTGAAGAGTTCCAAAGTGGAGATCTCTCGCTTCAATAGTGGGCCGGTGAACCTTTCCTCTATAGAGGTAAGTAGCGGCGAGGGGGAGGGAGTAGGGGAATATATATATATATATATATATATATATATATATATATATATATATATATATATATATATATATATATATATATATATATATATATATATATATACTAGCGTGTTTGTCCTGCGCGTTGCGGCGGTCTAAGAAGAAAGTCTGAGGCAATATTTTATGAAACTTTCATTGATACATTACCAATCCTTTATTTTTAGATGTGTAACCTGGTATTCTAAAACTGAGTTATTTAAATGAAAACAATGCTTGCGCTATATTTCATCATATTATCAGGGCAAGGATTTACATAAACTACCTCTCAGCACACCCCCGGGCGTACTGTATAAAAGCCTTGTGTGTATGTTAATCACTATCGTAATAGTGAGGTCGAAAACACTTTGGTGACCGCCCAGATGTCAGGAACGTAGAGGGGCGCTCTCTTGAGCCCCCGACTACAATACGGCAATGGCGCCGCTTACCTCCCCTGCCTCGGTTTAATCATCCAGTTGTGTGTGCCACCGTGTCAAGTATCTAAGATGCTTGTTAAAACTAACGTAGGCGCTATAGTACTCACAAGTTAGCTAACAAAATAACTTGGGGCAAATTATATTTGTCGGGGCGCCGGTGGACGCGCCTGATTCAATTCAATGAACGACTATAAAACTACATCTTATCCATATTCTATCACACACTTTAAAACGGACGTATGCACCATGAAGCTCACTGGAAAGCCCGTGAAGCCATATATCATCCTGCTGGGCACAGGAGGACGCACCTGATTTTATTTAGTGAGCAACTATAGCATCCCAATGTAATCACAGCCTACCGCACTCTTTGAAACAAACGCAGGCGCCATAGTTCTCACTGGTCAGCTCGGGTGTCAAATTGCTCCCTGCCTTGGCGCCGTTCAATTTATTCCTTATATAGTCAAATAGTCTTATGTGTATACTTTTTTACTTTCTAGTATATACGAAGTATAGAGAAAATCTTGTAATCGTGCAAAAAAAAAAAATCCAGAATTTTACAAATCTCGACGTTTTACACCTCATTGATACGGAAAAACATAATTTTGCAATCTTGTCAGTATGTCTGTGTGTCTGTGTGTGTGTGTGTGTAAACACGATAACTTGAGTACCGTTACAGCTAGATTGATAAAATTTCATATACAAGTATTTTATCAAAATCGTTGATCCGTATCAACTTTTGAGCGATTTCCGATAACCGGAAGTGGTAATTTTTCTACTTTGAATTTTTCAAAAGCCTATAACTTGAGTACTATTTCAGATAGATAAATGAAATTTCACATGTAAGTAACAGATCTAATCCTCTACCTTCTACTAATTTACGCTATTTCCGATTTCTCAAAAAACGCATGCGAAATTATAAAGTAGCAATAATATGCCGCACTATTATACACATTTTTATTGGGCGTTCGCTTGGTGCGCAATTCTTTTTATGAGATTCTATTCTATTTTTAAAAGTTTAAGTATTTAAAATGGATTAAAAATCATAACTATATCCGGAGTTCCCATCCCCTGCTGTTTTATATAAGAATATTTGAGAAAGTTTAGGGGAGATTACTCCCTGTTTATTTAAAAACGAACGTAGGCGCCAAAGTGCTCAAAGTAAAGCTCAGGGCACTTCGGGTCTCCCAATCTCCCGGGGAGAAAAATAATACCCTGCCGCGACGCCGGTGTATGCACCTGATTCAAATTAATGAACGACTATAATACCTCATCTTATCCATAATCTATCGCACTGTTTAAAATGAACGAAAGCCCGAACCGTGAAATAACTCACTCAGTTCAGCAAAAGTATAGTTTGCTGACCATACTATGCCGAAGTGACGGTAAAAAATATTAACTCCACTTGATCTGCCTTATTGACTACTAAACCACACAAAGAATAACTTTATCTGAACATGTGCTGATGTAAACATATTTTAATTTGTTAATTTCTTTAGAATGTGTCTACCGTTATGTAAAACGTAAATACCACTTTTAATGCATCTCAGTGCTTTGTACCATCAGATGACGATTACAATCAAAAGACGACCTTTCTACCTGTTGATCAACATCGTGTTACCTGTGGTGTTCCTGTCCTTTCTGAACCTGCTGGTTTTTGTTATCCCTGTAGAGTCTGGGGAAAAGATTGGCTTCGGTAACTGTAAAATTGCCATGTTGTTTTTGTTTCATAAAATGTTTTATTAACAGTTGAATGATAGTTTTGAATTCGAATAATATCAATTATAAAAACAAAAATTGCATTACATAACCGAGCTGAAATGGGATGTTTCTTGACATGGCATAATACGTATGTAGATAATGTGTTGTCAGTACTATGCTAAGCCAAAGTTACTTTCTGCGGTATAATTTTCGAGACTTGAAATCGTACTCGACATTGTCGGTCTAGCTGATGTGTAACCACACCACAGCAACACCGCAAAATATGCTTTACATTTTTCCATTTCAAAACAAATATATTTTCAAAGAAATATTATCGTAACTATTATTACTTTATTAAACGGTTTAGCTGGCTTCAACGTTAGTTCAGTTGGCAGAAAAAAAAATCCAGGAATGTTGATTACTTTGAATACATTTCAACCATGTTTAGTGGGAATTTTTAACAATTTAGACCAACAATATACTTTTCATGAAAGCATTATTGATCACTTCTATACTTTTACTTTCTTATTTTATGAACGCATAACCGATCACTCATATATTTGTACTTTATTATCTTATGAAGACATTATGGACAACTTTTATACTTCTGATTTTTCATCTTGTGCAGGCATCACCGTCCTGCTGGCACTGAGTATGTCTATGAGCCTGATCAGTGGCATGCTGCCCAAGTCCTCGCTGACCATCCCAAAGCTGACCATCTACCTCTTCGTCCTCCTCATCATCTCCCTCCTCACCGTGGTGGACAATGTCATAATCGCCTTCATGTACCACAAGCAACAGGTTAGTGGGAGTGGTCGACTGAAGGGGTCAATGATTGAAAGGAGTCCCATGATCAGTACCAAGAGTTAATTTAAGTGATCAATATTAGAAAGGTATTGCGTGATGAGTACCAGGGGTTCCTTCAAGGGATCAAGACGAAATTGACGAAATAGACAAAATATATAGAAGTTATATACTTTTATTAGTGTCTCATCCCCTATCTTGGAAATTTAGAATTGCAAGTACGTGGGTTGGAGAGTGGTAGATAATTCACCCGATGGAGGAACATGGGGGGGGTAGGTTAAACAATATATTTTCTAAATAATACGTTTTCTAGGTGGGTGAGGGGGTTTAGTTGTGCTTTAAGGGGAAGTACACCCCCCCTCTCTCCAGAAGATGCGTTTGAAAGAATGAATGGTAATGAGAGCTTCGAGTCAGAATAAAGAAGCGTTAGGTATAGGTCTATCAATAAAGACGATTTATACTTGAATGATCGATTTAACAGGTTAGATTCTTTTCCATCCCAGAACGAGTTCCTGAAAAGCGAAAAAGAAAAGTTAAACCGGGGCAATCACCCTTCCAGCCAACAGACCAAGTCATCGATAAACACCCAGTCCATCACCTTAGAATCTCTCCCCCGCGTGATGTCATCCGAGTCTCTCCACAGCGACTACGGCTATCCGGAGTTTTCCTCGGCTGCCTCTAGCAGAAGGTACAGCTGTATCGACAAGTACATCGACTCCGTGTCGTTCGTCAGTTTCTTCCTCATCTGGGTGGTGGTGACGGCGTACTACTTTGTGGATCTGACGTCACATTAGGGAGGGGTGCAGGGGTCTGAGTGGTATAGGGGTCTGGGTTGTGTAGGGGTCTGAGGGGTTGGGACGTACTACTTTGAGGACCTGGGGTCACATTAGGGAGGGGTGTAGGGATCTAAGGGGTGGGGACGTACTACTTTGTGGATCTGACGTCACATTAGGGTGGGGGTGTATGGGTCTGAGTGTTGGGGACGTACTAATTTGAGGATTTGACGTCATATTAAGGAGGGGTGTAGGGGTCTGAGTGGTGTAGGGGTCTGTGTTGGGGACGTACTACTTTGTGGATCTGACGTCACAATAGGGAGAGGTGTAGGGGTCTGGGGGGGGGGGGGTGGGGACGTAAAACGTTTGTGGATCTGACGTCACATCAGTGATGGGTGTTGGGGTCTGAGGACAAAATGTTGTTTGATGTTATAACATTTTTCACCCGGTTTATACTGTAAAGATGAGTTTTCTCGATATGACTTGAAGCTTTTTTTGTTTTGATCATTGTATTCAGATAATGTACCCAAACGTGAGTAGTCACGAAAGCTTAATGGATGTCATGAATTTCTCACCCGGTTTTATATTTCTAAAGATGAGTTTTTCAATATAACTTAATGCTCTTTTAATTTGGTAATTATTTTCATTAATTTAACCTAAAACGTAAATAGTCTCGAATGGTTCAATATATATTTTTTAAGATCGTGTACGTTGTTAGTAAATAAATGTGGTTATGAAAACTTTATTGGAAGGTTTTTGTCAGACTTTACTTAAGATTCGATGGATTTGATGTTTTTTAGTATTTTCAGTAAACAAATAAAAGTTTTGAAAAGTTAAATAAATTTCTTTTTATTTTATTTTTGGTAATGAAAATGTAAATAAATATGGCATAACTCGGTCACATGGTAAATGAAAGTATAATTTGTATCAGTATGTTTTATTAGCAGAGTTTTTAAGTACCCATTAATACAAAGTTGGGCTTACAGAGGATCGATGACGGAGTTTCTGTAAAACCAGCCATTGTTTGCATTACGCAAGTGTAGCTTAGGGTTATAACTTAGGTGTAATGAAAAAAAAACCAAATGTAGTCTTAAACACAAACATTTGTTTTCAATTCTTCTGCATTTGCTACTTTAATATAATTGATTCCGAAAATATTAAATTTCTAGCTTTTCTCAAGCTGTAGTTTTTTTGTTGTTTTTTTTATTTTTGTGTTTACTGCCGCATTGAAGGCAATAATTAACACACATTTTTTTTTTTTTTTTTTTTTTTTGCAAACCGTGACAACAATAACTATGGAACCCATCTGGTCGAATTTGTTTGTGTCCCTTGTATAAAGATTCATCGATTCCTATAAGGAGGGTGGCGGGGCGTGGCCGGATGTAGGCGTGGACAGTTATCTGTCGGATAATAAATATAGTTGCAACCAAATTAAAAAAAATAATGCATTTTTAAAAATAATTTCTATGTCTAAGCTATAAACTATTTTACATTAATGAAAAAACACAATTGTAATGTTTATAGTAACCAAATCAAACTAATTAATGTTTCCTTGCATATTAATTAATGTTTTCTTGTATATTAAGTATTGTTTCTTGTAAATTAATTGATGTTTTCTTATAAATTCGATGTTTTAACCCTGCTTTGAGAATAAAAATTTTCTTTTGTGAAATGTAGGCCTTCCACTTTATCGATTATTTCATGTATTTGGTTCTTTAAAATTCATGTATGTTCAGACCGACATTGTTCTGTGTGCACTCAAAAGAAATTACATTATTAGACACCTAGGCCTAAATTTTAATACTTTTTTTTTCAAATTTAATAATAATAAAAGTATGCATACATATACATATATTTAATACGCAAATATATATAAATATAAATATAAATCTAATATATAAAGCTCAATTCTGTATGTAAGAATAAGTTTGTTTGTCGTTGACATACTTCTATGGATTTAAGTGTTAGACTATTATCGTGCTCATAGTCTATATTTATGAGTTAAAAAATTACTATGGAAAGTGTTGGGAAATAATTTTCCTTTTTCAAACTGATAGTAATAATTGTCTGCATGTTCATTAAACACAATTTTAAAAAAATAACAAAAATTCTAATTATGTCTGAAAATTATTTATATTTAGTCCTTTAGCACTTACTTCCCTTTGATAAATTAGGAAAACACAATTACTTCCCTTTATAAAACATGGCATTAGTGGAAAAGAATTTACTTTTTATTACTTTGTTTTGGTGTTGGGAAAAAAATAATTACATAATTAGCGGGGATTGATCAAGTGCAAATGGTGTAGGTATTTTACGAATAAGCTTGGAGTATTATAATTGTTCATTTGGTTTGGTTTGGCACCTACGTTCGTTTAAGTGAGTGCAAAAGACTATGAATAAGTTGGGGTACTATAGTCGATTATTAAGCTGAAACAGGCGATTCTGCCCCGGGCTAGACTGTGAGCACTTTGCGTTTATGTTTGCGTTAGTGTTTTCTTTGTGTTTAGGTTGGGTTTGCGTTGGTGGTTGCGTTTTGATTTGGTTCGTTTTTGTTCTTTCTTTTTTCGTTTTCGTTTGTGTTTTTTTCTTTGGGTTTGTGTTTGTATTTGTGTTTGTGGTTGGTTTTGCGTTTGGATTTGGTTTGTTTTCGTTTGCTTTTTCGTTTGTGTTTTTTTCTTTGGGTTTGTGTTTGTGGTTGATTTTGCGTTTGGCTTTGGTTTGTTTTCGTTTGCTATTTCGTTTTTTTTTTCTTTGTGTTCGTATGGTGTTTGTGGTTGTGGTTGGGTTTGTTGTTAGGTTTTTGTTTTCGTTTGCTTTTTTGTTTGTTTTTTCTTTGTGTTTGTATTGGTGTTTGTGATTGTGGTTGGGTTTGTTGTTAGGTTTTTGTTTTCGTTTGTATTTGTAATTGTGTTAGCGTTATGTTTGCGTTTTGTTGTTTTGGTTGGTTGTGGTTTGGGTGGGCAATGCCGGGTTTATGATGAATACTAAACACACAGGTAACAGTCTTTAACAGAAAGGTTTTTCACAGAAGCCAGAGCAGGGCCTGGCCGGGACGGCTAGTATAAATGTAAATATATATATATATATATATATATATATATATATATATATATATATATATATATATATATATATATATATATATATATATATATATATATATATATATATATATATATATATATATATATATCAGCCACTCCTCTATTTGTAATACTACTCGCTCGAATCTATTTAACAGCGTTGTTCATCTTCATCCGGTAAGGACGTTATCACCTACCTAACAGGAAATAGCAACACTTAAGTATGTCACAAAGACGAATGAGTTTTATCTAAATCTTATGTTTGTGAGGCAGTTTGGAATAATTTGATTCGGCTTGTTGTTAACAGAGTAACGTACGTGTACAGTTGAACGGTATTACACGCATGTACATTTCTCTCTGAGATTTCAGTTTTATTGTTCGCTCTTATATTACTTTATCTTAATTTGTGTTTTCAATTTCTGAATCTACTTCAAAAGTACACATGTTAAATAAGATCTCTGCCTAATCGCCTTAGAAAAAATAGATAATTAAATACTTAATAACGAATAAAACATTTTATATTGATTAAGATTGAAATAAAAGATTTTAATCATCGGAAGTATACATATGAAATAAGATCTTTGCATATTCTTATGAAATAAAAAACAGAAGATAATTAAATACTTAATAACAAATAAAACTAATATTAATTAAGCTTAAAATAAATCATGTGGGACATCACTCAAGCGTAAGATTGAGTCATAGCTACCTTGTAATCAACCAAGTGTGACCGTTTGTAAGTTGTAGTCTAAAATTAGACTGCCGTGCGTGACTAAGGTGGAATGGTTGCAGTGAATCATAAAGGCAACGCAGGGGATATTAATGAATGCACGGGTTGAACATATCGGTACACGTTTGTGGTTAGCTAGGGTCGTGGGTCACGGGTCGCGGTTTTGTGACGTCAAGCAACTGGTGTTGAGTGAAGGGGGATGAAAGAGAGGTGAGGGAGGGGTGGGTGGGAAAAAAGGCGTGGAGAGATACTATTTGTAATTTGCACATGTTTTTAAAAGAGGTAAGGATTTATTTTTCTCATTATTTTGGACGGGCAGGCAGTGGGAGAGTGGGGTGTGTGGGTGGGCGGCCAGTGAACTTACAGTTAAGCGTTAGACCTCTACAAATATATAAATATACATACATACATATGTAAATATATATATATATATATATATATATATATATATATATATATATATATATATATATATATATATATATATATATATATATATACATAAGCTAATATATGTCTATTTGTAAATAAAGATATATATATATATATATATATATATATATATATATATATATATATATATATATATATATATATTCATATATATATATTTATAAATATATATATATATATATGTATATATGTCTTTATTTACAAATAGACATATATTAGCTTATATATATAAGCTAATATATGTCTATTTGTAAATAAAGATATATATATATATATATATATATATATATATATACATATATATATATATATATATATATATATATATATATATATATATATATATATATATATATATATATATAGCTACAATGTCACAAAATAAGGACATTTTCAACCTATACTTACTCTAAGCGGCAGTCTTAATCCCCCCCCCCTCCACCATTAAAAAAAGAATCTTTACAGTCAACACCGAACTGTATAATGTTATTTAAGCAAGACTGAAGAAGTTGTCAATGCCGTTTTTTATGTTTGATTTCTCACGGATATTATAGAACCTCTAGCCGCCGTATGGGGCTAAATACGGCTCGGTAAAGTGTGAAAAAGGATTTGAAATACCCCTAGGTAAACTTTGAAATGGGATTGGAAATTGAATGGATTCACTTTGCCGGAGACGATGTTTCTAAATACACCGTACACCTTTCGCTGCGAGTGTCAATATTTGCTAATTGTAAAATCTGGGTTAGAGGGTTTGTACTCTATTAACAGTTCTCAGATAATCTTTTTACTATGTCAAGTATTGAGGAAATCATCCCGGAAAATGATAATATATTCTGATGAAATAGATTGTAATATATTTGGTTATAAAACATATATATATATATATATATATATATATATATATATATATATATATATATATATATATATATATATATATATATATATATATATATATATAAAATATTGCGAAGTAAATTTATTATGTCGTTTACTTTGATTATTTTTTCTGATTTAAAATTATGTTTGCGCATTCTGTTTTTGTGTATTCTGATATGATATTCAGATTCAAATCAGTGTTTCTATGAAACTTTTTTTCTCCGTGGGGAGGGGACTTGATAATTTTGGGGAGGGCGGACAACATTTTCCAGGGGGTTGGAGGGGGGGGGGGGGGTTGGCGGACTCTGGTAAAAGTATGCATTCTAAATAAACTCCATTTTGTTCGGGGAGGGGGGGGGTGGGTGGTAGACTTTCTTTAGGGGGGGGGGTGGGGGAGCCAAAAGGAGTCCTGGAAGAAACTCTGATTTAACTAAAATAAGTGGTAAAATTTTATGATGCAATATCCGTGTGGTTTTTTTTTACTACTCATGTGATATCTACGTCACAAAATGACTCAATCACCGCGTGACTGTCACGTGTCATTTACGTTTGACAAATAATTTAGGAATTTTTGCTATAGGCCTTATGTTATAGTTTTTTTTAGTTAGGGTGGAAGTTCTCTGTGATAAATTTGGTAACCGATGAATGCTATTTTTCCAGTTAAAAATATCAGAATTTTAGTATCAACAAATGAACTGTGTAAACTGAGTCAAACATTTAGTCGATACAACGATAAAGGCCTAATCAGTACAGCGAGCTTAATGATAGTATTCAGCTATCGATTTCCCTTTCTCGGGCAAAGCCGAACAGTTAACATTAGCATAAAACGTGTGGGGACACGATATGATCATACGTTTTAGTTCGTGTAACGTAGCTTGATAATGGCTTTAGATTAATTAATTTTTGGCGTTAATTAATTCAGCGTTTCTTCCAGGCATTTTTCTCTAGTGATGAGGGAGGGGAGTGGGGGGGGGGGCACTTGTAACTTTCGGGGTATAGCTTTCCGAGGGCAGGTAGCAGACACTGGTTGAAAAGTATGCTTTGTACATACATTATATTTTGTTGGGGGAGGGGGGAGGGGTTGACGTGTTTCGGAAATGAGGGGTAATCTCCCTCCAAAAGATGCCTAAAAAAACTCTGAATAACTCAAAAAATATAATCTCTAGTTCACGTAGGCCCTATGTAATATTTTACAAGTTAATTTTAAAAATAGCTGATTAACATTAAACGTACGCTAAATGAAGAACCGTTTTTGTGTTTAATTTTTTTATGTGTTTACTCTGCTTTTAGCAGTACATAAAGAAAATTATTACATTTTTTCCAATCACGTCCTAGTAATCGATATTTGAATGGCTATATTGATTCGTTTTTTTTAATGTGCTGTAAAATGGACATGATAGGTTTGGTTCGATCAGGTTATGAATGATTATAGAGTGATTTTACGATTAGATTCAACAGCTTGCGTGACAGGCGCATGTATAGGCGCGACACTAAACTGTTGGGCGACCTTCGGATTAAGTCGGGTTGACTCTAGACTATACACACACACACACACACACATTTTCTATTGGGTGAACATGATTTAACAGTGGAAACTAAACAGTTTTATTTTTAGCACACGTAAAGGGCAATCACTCGTATGATGGGGAACAACGATATATATCTTTTTTTTTTAAAGTAAATATCCACACATTACGTTTGGACATATAACGATTAGCATATCATATGCCATAGACATATGTAGTCTAACCGAGATTAGCATATCCCATTGACATATACAGTCTAACCGTGACATTAACGCCGTGACGCTGTCTCTAACATATAAATAATTCAAATAAAATGTTAATTAAAAAAAGTAATTATCGTGACCAGATACACGATCGAGCACCAGGCTCTCTTCACCAGCATAAAAACCATTTTACCCTACCTGGCTGTTTTATGTTTGTAAACTTTATTACACATTGAAAACATTTTTAACTTTAAATAGATTTAGCCACACTACTACATAATTTAACTACCAGCCTACAGTTAAACATATAAAACTAAACAATGCAATTAACGCTATTTTTTTTTACCTTGTGACCTATTATTTTATGAATGAAGGGAAGTAATCCATACCCATAAAACATTTAGTTCACTGTACAAATTAAACTATTTTAGTGGACCATGGAATTTTTTTTACATTGATACTTTTCGTGTTGTAAACGAACCGCTTGCGGTTGATAGTTGCGAACAAACTCACAATAAAAAAAACATGTATACATTTGGTATATCGTGCACAATATAGATCTATACTTTTTAAACATTTTTTATTTAGTGAAATTTTAATCTGTTTACGGTAAGTCTATTTGTTTATAATTTGCATGTTATCGTGAATGTGTAGCCGCTCGATAGGAAAGCTATTCTGTGTAGTGACTGAACAAAGGAATGCAATCTGTGCTTCAATTAACATAGTGCAAATGTTTCTGTCAGGTTTCTAGTCGTAGTAAAAAAAAAACGCAAACGTTATTTATGCTGAGTAATTTTGTTAACGTGCTTACCTTTATACAAAAACGAATTCGTTTTGAAGTAGATAATTAACCTTTAGTATTTAACAGTACTAAAAGTATTTCAATAATCCTATTTAAATAGGATACCACGTATATAAAAAAATAATTAAAAATATAAATTGTACGATAAAAAATTGCCTCGTTTAATGAAAAGCAGTATTTTTTATAATAATATGATTTTTTCAAAAAAAAATTTTCTCTACAAAATTAGAATAGAACATCACGTGAAAGGGAAAAAACCTGGAAATTCTATTTCATTGAAATGTTATTTTAAATTGTTTACTTTTTGAAAGAAAAACACGGTAAAAGTTCTATAATACAACTCTTCTATGTTATAAAATGACACTTCTAGCTTTTAAATGTTTTTATTTAATATAGAAAGACTATTTGAGTATAACACGATCGTGGTTGTTCCTGCTATAGTGGACTTATCAGAATGTCAGTGTTGAGACGGCTGACATTTATTTTAGCTGTCATTCTTGGGTCAGTTGGCCTGACGCAATGTCAGGCCCACGACAAGACTGTGGCTATTTTTAACGACAAGGTCAGCAGTCCGAAGTATCATACGGAGGTCAGGCCCGTCCTTGACCAGTCCAAGGCCATCGATGTCAATATCCGGTTTGAGCTGGCGTCCATTGTGGAGCTTAATGACATCACACAGAGCTTCATCTGTAATGGGTTTCTCGTGTTTACGTGGAAAGATGAGGTAAGGGGAAGCAATTTTAAGGGAAATAACAACTGTAAGACAGTTATTAGTTTTACAATAGTTTTTCAAATTTTGAACTGAAATGTTATGCTTCGATAAATATAGGTATAAGGGGAAATAACTCAAAAGAAGTTCATAGCATATAGACATTTAAGTATTTATAAGATTTACTAACATTTTATTAGAATTTTATTAAATCTGAAAATTTAAACCAATTTTAAGGGAGATAACTCTAGTACATTAAACTCAAAAGGGAAATAATGAAAAGAGCCTAGCAATATTTTTAAAGCCAAAGACTCGCATATGTAGAGATCGAAATGTATACATTTTGGACGGAGTGGTCTAGCGGTAGAGAGCTGGATTGCTAACCCGTTAGTCTCGAGTTCGAATCCGGGTTCAAGTCAGTAGACCTCCTCTGAGTCCGCCCAACTCTGATGGGTACCTAACCAACGTTAAGGAAATCAAAAGCGGCTGGGTTTAGTGCTGATTACACAATCTCTTCATATGCCGAGGTCACAGAAACAAGTGAACTCTACTTCACTTGCCCTATAGACCGTAAGGTTTGGAAAGGGAACTTTACTTTTTATGTATACATTTGTTTAGATCATAGTTTGGGACCCTGCAGATTACGACGGGCAAAAAATGATTCACCCTTTGCCTGAGCACATTTGGAGACCACGGATTGTCTTGCTCAACACATTGGACAAGCGGGATATCTTTGACGACGACAAGGCGTAAGGGAGACAATTCATTCGTGATGTTTTAATTTTAACTTCTTACCTAAATTTGGAGAATTTTTAAATAAAATATTTCTTAATTTTAAATATAACGTAGCTTTATATCTAATGAGTAAGGAAAAATTACATTTTACTTAAAAAAATACTTGATTATTATTTTTTTTCTACTAACCTAACATCAGCAACAGTATAGTATGTATTTTTAAATCAAGTATAAATTACTTTAACCAATTTCATAATTCTTTATTCAGTCATTAGAAAATTTTCATTTTTATATTAACAGTAACATAATAAAAAAAATTTAAAAAAGTAAAAAATAAAAAAAAAAATAAAAAAATAACATATTATGTACATAGTTTTGGGAAGTGGTTTAATAGAATAAACTATTCTAATTTTTATTTCATTGTCCATTCAAAGGCCAGTTTTTCTAGCTTTCAACGGGTCAGTTACGTGGGTTCCGGGCAGTCTGTTTCCTGTTTCCTGTCAACTGGATATGACGTACTACCCCTTTGACAATCAAACATGCTACATAACGGTACGTTTGTAACTATTCTTTTTCGCCATACAACTAGCAATCACATTACCAAGTTAAACACACAAAAAATGCTTTAAAAATCAATGCTTTTTTGCCACGCAAAGATACCATTTCATTTTTATATGCGCAAATAGATTCGACGAATGTGTCAATATACATTAAAAATCCTGGTGAAAGCTTAGTTCGCGGTTGCCATTATGGCACACGTTTGGTAGTGTCAATCTCCGCTCAAGAATAGTTGACCCAGTTCAGTCACGTGATTAAGTATGTGTGCATAGATTAGCACAATGCTTCTAATAGCATAAAAAAAAGGAAATAAAAAAAATTGAATGGATTTAAATTTTTCCGTAGTTTGAAAATCATAGAGTATATGGATAATTTTTTTGTTGTTGAGTAGAGTTCATGTTTCGAATCCGGGTTCAAGCCAGCAGACCGTCCCTGAATCCACCCAACTCTGATGGGTTTTCTAACTCACGTTAGGGAAAGTAAAGGCGGCTGGGCATGGTGCTGACCACACTATCTCTTCATATGCCGAGGTCACAGAAACAAGTGAACTCTACTTCACTTGCCCCATAGACCGTCAGGTTTGAAAGGGATCTAAACTAACTAAGAGTTCATGTTTCTTGGCCTCACCATATGAAGGGATAGTGCGATGAGCACTATTCATAGCCAGATTACTTTACCTAACTTAGGTCGGGTATCCATTAAAGCTGTGTTGACTCAGGGACGTCCTGCAGACTAAGTTCGGACCGAGATCCATACTCGAGGGTGTGAGTTGTTAATAAACTTCTTTTCTACCGACCCACACCATCCCTAACACTTATATAATTAATTATTAAGGGATCATCTATAAATGACGTCACGCTTTTTTGACGATTTTTACACCCCTCCCCGCTCCCCTCCGTCACACGTAGTCACAAAAAGCCAGACCCCCCCCCTAAAATGACGTCACACCTCAGCCTACAACCCGCCTCAAATATGCATTTGAATTTTTTTTTTAACATCGATATTTTTCTAAAATCTTGTCTGATCTCTGTCGAAATAGAGTATTTTAATCAATTTCTATTACAAACAGTAATTAAAACAGTTTTCTAAAACGCGAAATAACGTCTAAAATTCGTTTCTAATATTGCTTTTTAATAATGCAAAAGTGTGACGTCGCACAATCTGAACCCCCCCCCCCCCCCCCCACTCCCCCTCATCACACACCGTCACAAAATTACGGACCCCCCTCCTCCATACGAGAACGAGTGTGACGTCATTTATGGACGACCCATAATAATTTGTTAATAATTTCACAATAAGAATTTTATATAATTAACAAAAATCCTCAAAAGTAAATGAATATTATATTAATGAAATGAATTCGGATTTGTGTGTAGACCTTTTTTATAGAAAACTCGAAAGCAGAGTTTCTTCCAGGCATCTCTTCGGGTTGGGGGGGGGGGCGGCTTAGCCCCCGAAAAAATTCTACCGCCCCCACCCCCCTCTTCCACGAACGAAATGGAATATACATTTAACAGTGTCCGCCACCCCCCCCCCCCCGAAGAAAGTCTACCGCCCGCCCCCCCCCCCCCCCCCGAAAATTTCAAGTGCTTCCCCTCCCCCCCACTCTCCCCCCCCCCCCCCCCCCCCCCCCCGGAGAAAAAAGTCTTGAAGAAACACTGCTCGAAAGTATAATTACACAATACAATTAAATAATATGTCATGATCTCGAATTCCAAAAAAAAATAATATTCAGGTGACCGCCATGACCTTGGTAGCCAGTGAAATACAGTTCACGACAAATGGCCAGATCAACATGACATTTTTTACGCCAAACGGAGAGTGGGAATTTATAGACGGCAGCTCTAGAGTTTACAACTTGTCCACTGGCTCTTCGCTGCTCCCCTCCCTTGAGGTACATTCTAGAAATCTTATGTCAGTGTGGTCGGGTCGGTAGAGCTCATGGCTGCTAAATCGTTAAGTCACGAGTTCGAAACCCCGAGTTTCGATAGCTGGGTAAATCAACCCATCTAGAAAAGAAATTCCAAAATCAAACAATTGTTTGTTAAAATGTTTAATTCCTATTTTTATTTTAGCTCGTCTTGGAAAAATGGTGGGGGGAAGGGTTGGGAACGGTAGAAATGCTCTGGTAGGAAAGGGGGGGGGGGGGTTGCAGATAACGAATATACTAAAATGTATGAATGTTTCATAGTTTAGGTTTCATATGTAATAAATTAAACATAAGTATATGAACTTAAATTTTGAAATGCAACAAAAGAAATAAAATATGAACCTCTCACAGATAAAGTTTGAAGTAAAACGAAAATATATTAACTTATGACCGATATACTTTGAACTGAAAAAAAATGAACTTACTACAGATGAAGTTTGAACTGAAACGAAAAATATAAAGTTTAAAACAAACATGAACCTACAGATGAAGTTTGAACTAAAACGAAAGAAAAAAAAAATAACGTATGACCGATAAACTTTGAACCAAAAAAGATGAACCTCTCACATATAAAGTTTGAAGTAAAACGAAAATATATTAACATATGACCGATATACTTAAAACAAAAAAAATGAACCTCCCACAGATGAAGTTAGAACAAAAACTAAAAAATATATTAACTTATATTAACGTATGACCGATATACTTTGAACCAACAAAAAATGAACCTCCCACAGATGAAGTTAGAACTAAAACAAAAATATATTAACTTATATTAACGTATGACCGATATACTTTGAACCAACAAAAAATGAACCTCCCACAGATGAAGTTAGAACTAAAACAAAAATATATTAACTTATATTAACTTATGACTGATAAACTTTGAACCAAAAAAAATGAAAACAAAAATGAACCTCCCACAGATGAAGTTCGAATTGAAGCGACGCTCCACATACCTGCTGCTGAATGTCGTCCTTCCCATCATTTTTCTCTCTCTCCTAAACCTCCTCGTCTTCATCATCCCTGTCGAATCAGGGGAGAGAATCAGTTACAGTGAGTACAGACAAATTATGGTTTTCATACACACTTCGCTAATATTTATAATTGTTTAGGAAACGGAGTTTTTTAAACTAATTAGATATAATAAAAGTTACTATTTAAAAATGTATGCAAGTCCCATTCAGCTAAGTAAAAAATGTAAGAGCATTCATTATACCAAACTTATTCACAGCTGTTTCCAATATTTAAATGAGTACCGTAAGCAGCTAAAATTAATGTACTAGGGAGTATTAATCGAGAATGTATTCAGTTTATTTAGTTACAATACATGTCCATATGTCATTGAGATGTTTGTTATTTGCGCGGAATTTCTTACAACTATATATCCACAGTCATCAATTATGATTTAATTAGTCTTGTGTGTCCGTTTTTCACTAATAACCTGCTAGAGAATACAAAATTGCCATTTTAAAAAATATATAGTTGTGGGTATAGTATTTAAGTCATAAGACTTTAAGAGTAAAGAAAAAAACTGCATATATTTTTTTTTATTCTTGAAAATTTATTTAGTGAAAATAACAATGATAAAACGCGCAATTTTTTTATGTTTCAGGATTAAAGTTTCAGTTAGTATTAGGTTCCTCAGGTTTCTGTCGAGCTTTATTATCAATGGGATAAATCAGAGTGCCATTTTGCCATACATTTTAAAAATATTTTTAAATGCTCTCTTTACGCACTAATTACTCAGTATTAAGATTATTCATCATATAAAAAGAAATAAACCAGAACGCCATTACAACATATGCTTTAATTTTTATATTAATGCTACGTTTCTTTTACGCTCTAATTACTCAGTGATAAGATTATTATTTTACACTAGTTTAGGTGTTTTAATCTCTAGTCACAAAGTATTTGTCTTACTGCTTACAAAATCTCAAAACCTCATTAACATGACGTCACGTGACCCCCTCCCCAGGCATCACCGTGCTGCTGTCCTTGACCGTATTCTACAGCCTGATTGGCAGTCAGATGCCCAGCACCTCCCTGACCACGCCCAAAATCACAATCTACATCGGCATCCTCCTCTCCTTCAGTATGCTGTCTGTGGTCGCTACTGTTATCATCGTTTTCCTCCACCACAGGGAGGAGGTGAGTTGTGAATGGTGGTATAAATAATGAGGTAAAATGCGGATATTTATCTAAACAAAGGGGTCGGCGTGGTCGAGTCGGTAAACGCTCATGGTTGCTATACCGAAAAGTCTCGAGTTCGAACCCTCGGGCAGATAAGGCTTGTTAGCTGGGGACAGCCACTCTTCTAGGAGAGACAACTCCAAAATCAAACAAATGCTGCCTTGTAGTTTGTTCTTGGTTGAACAAAGGCTATGGAAGCAAATCCAAAAAGAAAAGCAGCTGAAATCGGAGTCAATGGCCTCAATGGCGCAAAAAAGTCTCGAGTTCAAACCCTCTGGCAGATAAGGCTCGATCCCCCCCCCCCCCCCCCCCAACATTAAACATTAAGAACGAAGAAGAAGAAGAAGATCTAAGCAAAGAGGTAAGTTGTGGATATTGTTCGAACAAATGAGGTCAATATATGGATATTGATCTAAACAAATAGGTAAGATGTGGGTACTAATCTGACTGATAAGGTAGGGTATAGATCTTGGTTGAATGATGGGTTAAGATGTGGATTTTGGTCTAACAATAGAACTCATTTTAGTTTGTATTCTCTTGCATATTTAAAGACAATCTTAATATTTATCACTTACTCTGACTATTTTAGAAAAATAATTATTATGATTCACTGACAGTAAAATAATTTAATTTTAAACATTTATTCATCCCAGAAAAAAAACACAAAAAAACGTTCATCCCATCAAACCATATTTTTCAAAATCTATGCATTAATAAGTAGCTTCTCTTTACGTTGATCCTCAGCAAGAAACAATACATCTGAAAGCGAAAGAAAACTTTCAGAATATCTTAACCAAGGTGACTAGCAACAGAAGAGCGGTCTCGCCATTCCAGTTACCGAAAGATGAACCAGAAACTAAAACACCGGGACGCTCTATGAAGGACATAGTCAACGAAACTTCACAAATGAAAGCTGAGGTGCCGGAAAGTAGATCACGTGATGACAAGCCAGCTGTCAACAAGTACAAAGCAGTCGGGAAATATATTGATTTAGTTTGTTTTATCGTGTTCTTTGTCAGCTGGTTGACTTGTACGCTTGGGTTTATGCTTTCCATTACAAAAATATCAGACGTGTGACGTAAAAAAAAACACAAAAATGGAACAAATATCATTGTGTTGTAATTCCAATTTTTAAGTTCAATTTTAATTTACGATACATAATTTAATTGTTTTGTTAAGGTAATCACAACGTTCATTTAAAATATATGTTACATTTTAAAACTTTTGTATTTTAAATTTTTATGATCTGCATTTTGTTGATGTGTTTTTTTTCTAATCATAGACATTTCTTACACAAATCTAATACGTTTTTAGCGCTAGCCTACTGGTTGCACACAAATTATTACGTCTGTCTGGATGTTGAATGTATTCCTTGTGTGTTGTTTTGTTTTAAACTAAACTCACTATATCTGAATGTTAAAAAACGGTAAATAAAAATTGTTTACCACAAAAAGATCTTTGGCCAGTATGATTTGTTCGTGTTTTAAATTCATCTTACTCAAGTATGGCCTACTTAGCTCATGTGCTATATCCACAATATATAACTCTATGAACACTGTCGTGCTGTTTATGGACACGTGTGCCTAAGCTAGTACTATATTTGTGGTTCTTAACTATTTTGGAGTACCGAACCCTACCAGCTTCATTTTACGCATTCACCTAACCCATCTGAATAAAAAAAATAGTTTTGTGTTATTTTTTCAAATTAAAAAAACAGACTTTTATATAAATTACAAATAAGGTTGATACGATTCGTGACGTACGTGTGTCATGAAATCAAGGGCTCCAGGAAATAGAAATATCACGATACTGGTACGTATTCAGAGTTTCTTCCAAGCATCTCTTCCGGGGGGGGGGGGGGATTTATATTGAAAATATATACATTTAACAATGTCCGCCCCCCCCCCCCCCCGAAGAAAGTCTACCACCCCCCCTCCGAAAAATCCAAGTGCCCCCCACCCCCCTCCCCCCGGAGAAAAAAGTCTTGAAGAAACACTGTACGTTATATCACACATTATTACTATGTTGTGCTGTGGACTTCTAATGTCATCGATCAAGGGTGCCGGTTCCACCTCAAACATTGACGAAATGGAATCGCAGATCATATGAGTTGAGGATGTGTACTGACCTCTGCCAAACTCCATAGACTGAAGCATTGAATATCTGGGGTTTGATTAAACCCAGGTTGAGAACCACTGGTTTTAAATAATACACAACGAGCTGACCCGCGGAATATTATACGCTGCTATTTAGTTGTTTTATTTCCAACTTTTCAGTACTTCATAGTAAGTGAATTCGACACTACCCTCCATTCCATTCCTCCCCCCCTTGCCAACGAGAGCGGGGGAGTAACGGCGTGCGTTTACGTGGTGTCTCGCATGGTCCCCATGAAGATAATTATATAGATTATAAATGTCGAAAAATTGGAAATTGATGTCGTGACCGAGCGGAGAATACGACAATTAGCGTGTTAATTGTGGATTCAGACCCACGTCGACTTTGTAAATATAGAGTTTTTCATTTATTTATTTACACACAACCTGCCCCCCCCCCCCCCCTACACTGTCCCACCGCACATTGAACTCATTCCCACCTCCATTATTTCCAACGTGAAATCACAGACATAATCCCACCGAAGATCAAGACTATCTAGAATAAAGCGGTGCTCTTGAAACTAACACTCCGAACTTTTTAAACTAAACACAATTTAGTGTACTGCATTACAGTATCGATCGTTGCGATAAACAGATTTCGATTTTTCATTAAAAATAATCAATCGCCCCGGTTGTTATACTATTGATTGGGTAAAACAATAGAAAAGGTTTTTTTGATAACCTAATCACTGAGACAATCAGTTGACAGAAAAATCCCGGTAGGGATTTTAAAATAAATTTACTTTCATAAACAGTTTCTTTCAGTCATGTATACCGGATTGAGAAGTGGGGGGAGGGGGGGGGGGTGTCCACGACCTGGTTAGTTAGGACACAACCTGCTTTGTTTGGATGGAATAGACCATGTTCCATTGGATATGACCAGGTTCGTTCGGAGAGGAGGAGGTTCATTAGGACATGAGTAGGTTGACGAGGACATGACCAGGCTCGTTTGGACATGAATGAGTAGGTTCATTAGCACATGGCCAGGCTCATTAGGACACGAGTAGGCCCATTAGGACATGAGTATGTTCAAAAGGACACGACCATGCTCATTAGGATATGAGTAGGTTCATTAGGTTATTAGTATGTCTACTAGGACATCAGTAGGTTCTTTAGGACATGAGTAGGTTCATTACTACATGGCCAGGCTCAAACCGGACACGAGTAGGTTCATTAGGACATGACAAGGTTCATTAGGACAAAGTAGGTTCATTAGCACATGACCAAGTTCATTAGGACTAAACTCTCCAAAAGGTCTGCTTGACAATGACCACATTGTATTGAACATCACCTGATTTGTTTACACTTCACTCCCCCATTTCAGACACAATTAAATATTCAAAACGACATTTTATAATTAAACAAAAGCAAATCTTTTTACATAATTGTATTAATGGACTATTTTAAACGCTAATTATAAGCATACAATTATAGCAAATGGTTTATAATTAATGTAGCTGTAATTGCAATACCAGTTTTAATCTCATGTTTTCAACTTAAGTTCATTTGTCGTGATTTTATTACCCATCGAAACAGCGTGTCAAAACTAGATGTAAACACGAAAACATTGACACATATATCTCGCTATTCTGCACTAGAGTATCTCGCGGTTCGCTACAATAGAAAGTGGACTAAGTTCGTTGATTCACACCCCCGAGCACCCATTACTAAACTCTTTTAAAAGCTAGTACACCTGCACCGTACTTAAAGGGTTCGGATTTCAGAGGGATAAAATCTTTGCCGAGAATTTTCGGTAAGGTAGATGTATGCGAACTAACTCCGTACCAAGCTGTAGAATATATCGATTTATAAATACAAAAATAATTCCGATATTTTATTTCAAATTATATTTAATGTAAGGACATATTTTTCTTCATTTAACATTATTTAAATTATATTATAATGCGTGTTTTGAATTAAAATTGTAAATTATTTAATCACAGGTTTTTTCACAGTATTTATTGTCGAGATATAGATCTACCTATTTGGATGTATTCAACATGGATAAAGTTTATGTCTATGAGTGTCCTTGTCATGCTTGTCCGTCAAACGCACGGAATGTCGTACGACAAAACGCTGGACATTTTCAAAGACAAGTTGGGCAGCGCTGTCTACAGCCCCGACATCCGGCCGGTGCTCAACCAGTCTGACGTCATACAGGTGTCGGTGCTGTTTGGGATCGTGTCAATTGTGGAGCTTAATGACGTCACCCAGAGCTTCGTCTGCAACGGATTCTTCTCCTTCGTGTGGAGAGATGAGGTGAGAGAAAATACTTAAAGCTGGTGCTGCTGAATGTTACGGAGTGAGTATAGGAAGAGCTAGATCATACATTATACTGTGGGTTTACGATTTGATTCATGTAGTGAATGATTGAAGGGAGATGAATGGGGGTGATTGTTGTTGATACTTTGTACCCTGTCCCGTTCTCCCATGTTCAATCCTTGTGCTGTGAGTTGTGACAACCGGTTTGTATCTGTTTTCTGTAAGGGTATATAAGGTGTTTGAGAACGTGTGTGATTGCCTCAGCCTTAGTTGAGTCGTTCTTCCACAAGGTTAGTGTAGGTTAGTACTCTACTGTTAGATAGCCACTGTATCTTAGTGTTTGTACTAACGTTTATATTAAGTGTTTAGAATAAACTGTGTTGTGTAGATAGTGTAGATAGTACTAAACTATTTTAGTTTTAACGAGCCTTTGTTTCATTCAGTCTTTTTTTGTAACCGTTTTGTGTTTGTTTCGTATTATATGTTGCGTGTCGCAATGGATCAGCAGTAAAGGCGTGTCTGTGTTCCCAACAATACAAAACAAACAAACAAACGCGATCTCGTTTGTTTGTTGTTCCATGGTTATTCCACTAGCTCGATAGACACGGACGACAACTTTCACAACTTAGCGAAGACTTGACTGCATTCACGATGACGGACTAAAATATCCACACCCTAGCACATCAAGACAAAGACTATCTTAACCTATTTCCCCCAGCAAAAAGATCCTACTCTCTAATATTACATTCTTAACTACCTTGTCAGACGTATATAGACCAGCTTAATTTGTGAGAACGGTCATTACGATTGTAGTTTTCTATCTAAATTTTGAGCTGATCAAGTACTTCTAGTTTTAATTTAAATTCCTCGGTTAAAATGTTATTTTGTAACAAATTAAGCAAAAATGTAGTTATGACTAAATTTATTGGGTTAAAATGTTGGTTTTATATTTGACAAATCCAATGTAGTTATGTCTAAAATTCTTGGGGTTAAAATATTATTTTGAAACTGACCAATCAAATGTAGTAATGACTAAAATTCTTGGGTTAAAATGTTATTTTATAAATGACCAATTAAATGTAGTTATGACTACAATTCTGAGGTTCAAATGTTGTTTTATAACTGACCAATCAAATCTAGTTATGACTAAAATTCTTGGGTTAAAATGTTATTTCATAACTGACCAATCAAATGTCGTTAGATAACATGTTTGGGTTAAAATGTTGCTTTATAACTGACCAATCAAATGTTTTATAACTGACCAATCAAATGTTGTTTTGTAACTGACCAATCAAATGTTATTTCATAACTGACCAATCAAATGTAGTTATGACTAAATTCTTGAGTGAAAATATTATTTCATAACTGACCAATCAAATGTAGTTATGACTAAAATTCTTGGTTTAAAATATAATTTCATAACTGACCAATCACCCCCCAGCGTGTGAGCTGGAACCCATCCGACTACGGAGGGCAGGATCTAATCCACCCACTGCCAGTGCACACCTGGAGGCCGCGAGTTATTCTCATCAACACCCTGGATAAGAGAGACGTCTTTGACGATGACAAAGCGTGAGTACTCTATACCATCTTTACAATTACTCTCTTGAGATGTGCGTCTTTAAGGTCTTTTTCTGATATATTACGGCGCGGTTTGATGGTAAAGAGAATAAATTCTTACCCGAAAGTCTTGAGTTCGAATCGTAGGTTCGGGTTCACAGACATCCGTGAGTTTACAAAGTTTTAATGGGTTCCTGACTCGCTTTAGGGGAAGTAAAGGTGGCTGTGAATAATGCTGATCACACTATTCCTTCACATGCCGAAGTCTTTGAATCTGAACTCTACTTCATCTACGCCGTAGTAACCTCGTTTTCTAGAGCTCCGTGTCTCTTCCCCAGACCCATGTACGTCAGCAGTTTCGGCACGACCAACTGGATTCCTGGGAGTCTGATCTCCGTGTCGTGTCAACTTGACATGACCTACTACCCCTTCGATGACCAGACGTGCTATATTAAGGTAGGGATTAGATTAATTAGAGATTTTTGGATTAGGAATTTTTAACGGTCACAAATATCTAGGATATATTACCTCGGACAAATATCCCAGACAAGTTATCTAAAAATATATCTGGATAAATTATATCAGTCAAATAACACAGACAAAATGTCTCAAAATATATCTGAAGAAATTACCTGAGACAAATATCCAAAAACAATTATCTCGGATAAAATATTTAAGACAAAATATCTAAAAAAAAATATCTCAGGACAAACATTCCAGACAAATATCTCACAAAAAATATCGTATACAAAATATATCACAGAGTAGGCTATATGTCTCAAAATAAAATATCTCAGAAAAAATATCTCGAAACTAATACATCATGGCAAAATATCTACATTATTTGATTTGAAACTAAAAGCAGAAACGTCGTGTAGCTAAAATTTAATATTTTTGTTTGATTGCGTATGTGTATATATGTATGTATGCCTACAACAGCACATTACGTATCTTTCAAACAATACATTAAAAGTTTCTCCAACAACGCATTAATTATACCTCTAATAAAACTTGATATTTCTTACCAACAACACAATGTGTTACAAACAACACATTATGTAAGCCTCTATCAATACATTACGTATGTTACGATCTTCTTCTTCTTCTTCGTTTTTAATTTTAGTGTTGGGGAGGATTCCCCTCCAACACAATTAAGTATACGTGTCAACTGGTTATGCGCCATTGAGGCCATCCACTCCGATTTTAGCCTGCTTTACTTTTTGGATTTGCTTCCATAGCCTTTGTCCAACCAAGAACAGACTACAAGGCAGCAGCTGTTTGATTTTGGAGTTGTCTCTCCTAGAAGAGTGGCTGTCCCCAGCTAACGAGCCTCATCTGCCCGAGGGTTCGAACTCGAGGTTTTCGGTTTAGCAACCATGAGCTTTTATTGACTCGACCACGCCGACCCCCATGTTACGAACAACTTATTATGTATGCCTCTAACAATACATTACGTATGTTACCAACAACACATTATGTATGCCTCTAACAACACAGTGTGTTACAAACAACACACTCCTTATGTTACCAACAACACATTACCTATGCTGTACTCTGCTGCCCCTACAGTTCCAGCCCATGTCTCTGTCCACCAAAGAGATGGTCTTCAAGGTGGCCAGTTCGGACATCAGCACCGACTACTTCACAGAACACGGAGAATGGGACCTGAAAGAGAAAAGTATTGAAGTGTACAACCAGACCATAAGCAGGTTCTCTTTCTCTTGCTTACAGGTAGAGTTTGTACGTCATTTGTCTTGTATGCACGTCATTTGTCTTGTATCAAGTCATTTGTCATGTATCCACGTCATTTGCCTTGTATCAAGTAATTTGTCTTGTATCAAGTCATGTGTCTTGTATGCACGTCATTTGTCTTGTATGCACGTCATTTGCCTTGTATCAAGTAATTTGTCTTGTATCAAGTCATGTGTTTTGTATGCACGTCATTTGTCTTGTATGCTCGTCATTTGTCTTGTATGCACGTCATTTGCCTTGTATCAAGTAATTTGTCTTGTATCAAGTCATGTGTCTTGTATGCACGTCATTTGTCTTGTATGCACGTCATTTGCGTTGTATCAAGTAATTTGTCTTGTATCAAGTCATGTGTCTTGTATGCACGTCATTTGTCTTGTATGCACGTCATTTGCCTTGTATCAAGTTATTTGTCTTGTATCAAGTCATGTGTCTTGTATGCACGTCATTTGTCTTGTATGCACGTCATTTGTCTTGTATCAAGTAATTTGTCTTGTATGCACGTCATTTGTCTTGTACGCACGTCATGTGTCTTGTATGCACGTCATTTGTCTTGTAAGGCACGTCATTTGTCTTGTATGCACGTCATTTGTCTTGTATGCACGTCATTTGTCTTGTATGCACGTCATTTGTCTTGTATGCACGTCATTTGTCTTGTATGCACGTCATTTGTCTTGTATCAAGTAATTTGTCTTGTATCAAGTCATGTGTTTTGTATGCACGTCATTTGTCTTGTATGCACGTCATTTGTCTTTTATGCACGTCATTTGTCTTGTATGCACGTCATTTGTCTTGTATGCACGTCATTTGTCTTGTATGCACGTCATTTGTCTTGTATGCACGTCATTTGTCTTGTATCAAGTAATTTGTCTTGTATGCACGTCATTTGTCTTGTATGCACGTCATTTGTCTTGTATCAAGTAATTTGTCTTGTATCAAGTCATGTGTTTTGTATGCACGTCATTTGTCTTGTATGCACGTCATTTGTCTTGTATCAAGTAATTTGTCTTGTATGCACGTCATTTGTCTTGTATCAAGTAATTTGTCTTGTATCAAGTCATGTGTCTGGTATGCACGTCATTTGTCTTGTATGCACGTCATTTGTCTTGTATGCACGTCATTTGTCCTGTATGCACGTCATTTGCCTTGTATCAAGTAATTTGTCTTGTATCAAGTCATGTGTCTTGTATGCACGTCATTTGTCTTGTATGCACGTCATTTGTCTTGTATGCACGTCATGTGTCTTGTATGCACGTCATTTGTCTTGTATGCACGTCATTTGTCTTGTATGCACGTCATTTGTCTTGTATGCACGTCATTTGTCTTGTATGCACGTCATTTGTCTTGTATGCACGTCATTTGTCTTGTATGCACGTCATTTGTCTTGTATCAAGTAATTTGTCTTGTATGCACGTCATTTGTCTTGTACGCACGTCATGTGTCTTGTATGCACGTCATTTGTCTTGTAAGGCACGTCATTTGTCTTGTATGCACGTCATTTGTCTTGTATCAAGTAATTTGTCTTGTATGCACGTCATTTGTCTTGTACGCACGTCATGTGTCTTGTATGCACGTCATTTGTCTTGTAAGGCACGTCATTTGTCTTGTATGCACGTCATTTGTCTTGTATGCACGTCATTTGTCTTGTATGCACGTCATTTGTCTTGTATGCACGTCATTTGTCTTGTATGCACGTCATTTGTCTTGTATCAAGTAATTTGTCTTGTATCAAGTCATGTGTTTTGTATGCACGTCATTTGTCTTGTATGCACGTCATTTGTCTTTTATGGACGTCCTTTGTGTTGTATGCACGTCATTTGTCTTGTATGCACGTCATTTGTCTTGTATGCACGTCATTTGTCTTGTATGCACGTCATTTGTCTTGTATGCACGTCATTTGTCTTGTATGCACGTCATTTGTCTTGTATCAAGTAATTTGTCTTGTATCAAGTCATGTGTTTTGTATGCACGTCATTTGTCTTGTATGCACGTCATTTGTCTTTTATGGACGTCATTTGTCTTGTATGCACGTCATTTGTCTTGTATGCACGTCATTTGTCTTGTATGCACGTCATTTGTCTTGTATGCACGTCATTTGTCTTGTATCAAGTAATTTGTCTTGTATGCACGTCATTTGTCTTGTATGCACGTCATTTGTCTTGTATCAAGTAATTTGTCTTGTATCAAGTCATGTGTTTTGTATGCACGTCATTTGTCTTGTATGCACGTCATTTGTCTTGTATCAAGTAATTTGTCTTGTATGCACGTCATTTGTCTTGTATCAAGTAATTTGTCTTGTATCAAGTCATGTGTCTGGTATGCACGTCATTTGTCTTGTATGCACGTCATTTGTCTTGTATGCACGTCATTTGTCCTGTATGCACGTCATTTGCCTTGTATCAAGTAATTTGTCTTGTATCAAGTCATGTGTCTTGTATGCACGTCATTTGTCTTGTATGCACGTCATTTGTCTTGTATGCACGTCATGTGTCTTGTATGCACGTCATTTGTCTTGTATGCACGTCATTTGTCTTGTATGCACGTCATTTGTCTTGTATGCACGTCATTTGTCTTGTATGCACGTCATTTGTCTTGTATGCACGTCATTTGTCTTGTATCAAGTAATTTGTCTTGTATGCATGTCATTTGTCTTGTACGCACGTCATGTGTCTTGTATGCACGTCATTTGTCTTGTAAGGCACGTCATTTGTCTTGTATGCACGTCATTTGTCTTGTATGCACGTCATTTGTCTTGTATGCACGTCATTTGTCTTGTATGCACGTCATTTGTCTTGTATGCACGTCATTTGTCTTGTATCAAGTAATTTGTCTTGTATCAAGTCATGTGTTTTGTATGCACGTCATTTGTCTTGTATGCACGTCATTTGTCTTTTATGCACGTCATTTGTCTTGTATGCACGTCATTTGTCTTGTATGCACGTCATTTGTCTTGTATGCACGTCATTTGTCTTGTATGCACGTCATTTGTCTTGTAGCAAGTAATTTGTCTTGTATGCACGTCATTTGTCTTGTATGCACGTCATTTGTCTTGTATCAAGTAATTTGTCTTGTATCAAGTCATGTGTTTTGTATGCACGTCATTTGTCTTGTATGCACGTCATTTGTCTTGTATGCACGTCATTTGTCTTGTATGCACGTCATTTGTCTTGTATCAAGTAATTTGTCTTGTATCAAGTCATGTGTCTGGTATGCACGTCATTTGTCTTGTATGCACGTCATTTGTCTTGTATGCACGTCATTTGTCCTGTATGCACGTCATTTGTCTTGTATCAAGTAATTTGTCTTGTATGCACGTCATTTGTCTTGTATGCACGTCATGTGTCTTGTATGCACGTCATTTGTCTTGTATGCACGTCATTTGTCTTGTATGCACGTCATTTGTCTTGTATGCACGTCATTTGTCTTGTATGCACGTCATTTGTCTTGTATGCACGTCATTTGTCTTGTATGCACGTCATTTGTCTTGTATCAAGTAATTTGTCTTGTATCAAGTCATGTGTTTTGTATGCACGTCATTTGTCTTGTATGCACGTCATTTGTCTTGTATGCACGTCATTTGCCTTGTATCAAGTAATTTGTCTTGTATCAAGTCATGTGTCTTGTATGCACGTCATTTGTCTTCTGATACACGTCATTTGTCTTGTATCAAGTCATTTGTGTTGTATGCACGTCATTTGTGTTGTATGCACGTCATTTGCCTTGTTTTCTCAAAACCCTCAATACTTTATGGCGTCTTATTAAATGGAAATATCCATAAGATTAATTTAGACACATTTCTAAGGGTATTAAAAACGTATTATTGGTCTCCAAAAATATATAATTGAAAAAGCGTTTATTATCCGATTTATCCACACGATTTCATACAAATTTTAAATCTTATTATCTTGCCATTTGTATTTACAAAAGTTCATACAATTATTTTTTAAAATAGTTTTTATCTTGCAGCAATATTTGTATAAATCTTTCTTGTGGATTTGTCAAATTGTATCATGTTCTCATTTCGATGCTGTAATTATGTCCAGTAGGTTTTGTTTATTGATAAGCCTAAGCTCTAACTCGGCTAGCGAGATAAGCTGAAAGCGATACATTAATCCTGTTGGTAAGTGCAAGGGTCGAGGTTATGGTTCGGGTAAGTATTAGAGGGTTGTTGATACATCTAGCTAGTTTAAGGTGACGTTATGAGGAATACAGATTTAGTACATGTTTGAATAAAGTTTGTACATCAATTTTCTTTGAAATTCAATATGTGTTTAAAAAAGAGTTTTTCTAAACATTGTAAAACAATAAATTATTATAATTGTATTTACGTTGTAGTGGGAATGTGTGGTCGAATGGTAGAGTTTACGAAAGCTAAACCCGCAGCTTCGAGTTTGAATTCCGGGCTCGAGTCTGTGGACATCCCTGAGTCCACTCAGCTCTGATGAATACCTGATTCACTTTAGAAAATCTAGAGCGGCTGGGTATATTGCGACTACAATGTAACCTGTAAGCCAGGGTCATTGAAAAAGATTAACTCTACTTCGTCTACCCCATGCGTCTATGGTACTCACGGAATGACGTGGTCAGGCAGATGAATGAATCGGGTTCGATTACAGTTTTGAGTCTACAGAACGTCCCCAGCTCAGATATGTACCATACTTAATTTAGGAAAAGTAAGGACTATCATTTTATGATATGGAAATACCAGAAGTCAAGTAGACTCTACTTCACCTGGCTTAATGTAACGTCTAGTCGAATGGGCTACTGACTAACTAAAATGTATTACATAATTATATGTAACAAGTCATATGCCGATTTCACTGAAACAGGTGAACTCTACATCAACTACCCTAATAACTTTTCGGACCGAAAGCATATTTTATTTTTCTTGTAATTTTTATATGAATACTGAAGATGGTTTTACTAAAGCATGCCTAAAATGTTTGTAACATCAATTCTCATGTTGATAAAACTCAACTCATCAACTCCAACCTCGATGAAATGGCAACTGACCAGCTGACCTTTAAGTTCAAGAGAAGGCCCAACTTCCTGTTGATCAACATCATCCTCCCTATCGTCTTCCTCTCTTTCCTCAACATCCTGGTCTTCGTCATACCCGTAGAGTCAGGGGAGAAAATCGGATACGGTGAGTTGTCGTTCCTGGAAATACAAGAGTTATCATTCCTGGTACTACGGTTCCGATAAGTTATCGGAACTGGTAAAATCAGTTATGGTGAGTTATCGTTCATGGAAATATCGGATACGGTGAGTTATCGATCCTGAAAATATCGGATATGCTGAGTTATCGTTCCTAAAAAATATCTATTACGGTGAGTTATAATTCCGAGAAGTACTAGCGCATTTGTTGAGTAATCGTGATTGAAAAAATACATATACCGAGGAAATAGTCTTGATTAAGTTTTATAGTTTTCTAAAAATATCGACATGTATTTATAAAACAATTTGATAAAAAACTTATTTTATTAAAATTTACCAATAAGATTTTGATTTGGTCATTTAAGTTTTAAATGATTTTAAATGAACTAATTTTGTTACCTTTTTTAATCTAATACAATGTTAAATTTTCTCTATCCCTGTATGTGACATAAAAATACCTATATTTCCATACCAGTTCATGTGGTAAAATTTATTCCTCTTCTTGACATATTGGTACTTCTATCCCATTTACAGGTATCACGGTACTTTAATCCCATTTACAGGTATCACGGTACTTTAATCCCATTTACAGGTATCACGGTACTTCTGTCCCTGTCGGTCTTCATGAGCATCATGGGTAGCCTGCTGCCAAGGTCATCACTGACCACACCCAAGGTCACCATCTACATCCTGATCCTGATGGTGCTATCTATGATGACAGTCATTGTGTCCATCATCATCGTTTTCCTGCATCATATGGAAGAGGTAGGGCTGACATAACAACTTGCAAAATCGTTACCTTGAATCATTGCCTTTTCCTTTTCATGCCCAAGACACATTGGTCAGATGGAGGTTTATTGTATTTGTTAAATAACCTCGGCATTTGAAAGGAGAATCGTTAGCTATTGTTGACCTGACGTTAGTTAGGTACTCACCAGCGCTGGTGACATCCTGTAGTCAAGTCCAATCCGAGATCCGAACTCGAGACGTCCTGCTAGCAGACAAACGCTCTACCATTTGATTACACGAGTCGAATTGATTTATAATATCTTAAACAAAAAATTACAACAGCGAGGGGGTGCAGAATTGTCTGTTTGCTAATATTTTTTTTTGCTATAATTAGCTTTTGCTTAACACATTTATGAACAATATCTTAATTGTTATAATGAAGAATATTTCTTTTAACACAATCTATTATAATGTGTTAAATGGTATGCATTATATGGCCCTTTGACTCAGACTTAGTGTGCTTTTGTATGGATTGGCTCATATAGCCTTTGCCCATCAAAGTCCAATCAGCAAGGAAGCAGTTGTTTTGTGGTGTTTTCTTTCCTAGATGGCACTTTGTCTTTAGCTACATAGGTTTAGCAACTAAGAGTTTTACCGACTCGACCAAGCCAACTAAATTTTAAAATAGCAGGCACAAACTCCATGTCTTTTGCTTATATTATACGTTAAACGAGTAAATAAAGTATACCGAAATTTTGTATATTGTATCGTTGCCTTTTTTTTTTTAAATTTCAATTAGCATTTTAATGTAAATTATTCTTCAGTAATAGCTTTTAAGAAAATTATATAAAAAGTAGTTTTAATATGTCAATAATTAAAGCGAAATTTATAAAAAAAAAAAAATTTCTTTTATTGAAAATCATTTGCTTATTTAAAAACAAAATCATCGTTCATTTTGTTCTCCCCAGAAAGAAGAGAATCACCAACGAGCGAAGGAGAAGTTCAAATCCGCTTTCAACAAAGTTGCGGTTTACAGTAAAACCGTTTCGCAGTTTCGCACGCCCAACAACAAGGTGCAAGCAGTGAGCGACAACCAATCGAATCCACTCAGACGTCTAGCAGAAGACGCACTGGCGGCCCAGAAGTCAGAGAATCCTGGCAACATGGACTCGGATGGGGAAAACCCGAAACTAAAATTAGCCGAGGACGCACCTAAGCAAAACAAGTTTAAAATAGTAGGGAAATATATTGATCTGGTCTGTTTTGTTGTTTTCTTGGTCATTTGGCTGGTTGTGACCTTGAAGTTCATGTTTGACATTGCAAAAGTCATTGAAATATAACGATTGTAAAATGACGTTAAATAAATTAACTTATATATAAAGTAATGACTTTAGTTCACATATATTCATTTATTAGATTCTGTAGATTATGGTGGTAATTATAAATTACATGTTTTCTACATAAATATAATTCAAAATGTAGTCCAAATACGTTATTGAGCTTCATTCGAAAAATTAAAATGAAAATGGGTAATACAAATGTATTTAGCAAGTATTCGCCCTTCTAGACTCTGTACATAACACAAGGACGAATAAAAACTATGTTTAGTATGTGTATGTTATCAAGTATGTATGTTGGGATTTAGTGAGTATTTCATAGTGCTATAATGGGTTCAGTAAAATTGTACATGCATTATGTCTATTTGTAAACTATTAGCCCTGAATGTACTTTGTCAATAATTTTGTGTTTTTTAAATTATTACGATAATAAGATTGTTGTTTAGATAGTCTAAATTAAACGATTAGTTAAGGTAACGAGGCCTTTGTGTTATTCTTTGTGTTTTGTTTCCTGATATTCTCTTGGTTGTATCTGTTTGCGCTCAGATGGGCGGGTGTGATTACAACAAATTTTTATTGACGAAATGGGGTGGAGGACTAAAGAAATGCGACACGTTTATGATAACTATAGTAGATGTACTGAACCCCACAAATTCCACAAGAGTGTAGACTGTGCACCTGCCCCACACACACACCACACCACAAGGGTATAGAATGTGCAACAACCACATACACACCAAAATAGTGAAGACTGCACCTACCACACCCACACAAGTGTAGACTGTGCACCTGTCACCCACACACACACAAGTGTAGACTGTGCACCTACCACACACACACCCACACAACTGTAGACTGTGCACCTACCACACACACACTCCACACAACTGTAGACTGTGCACCTACCACACCACGCACTAGTGTAGACTGTGCACCTACCACACCCACACCACACAAGTGTAGACTGTGCACCTACCACACACACACCCACACAACTGTAGACTGTGCACCTACCACACCACGCACTAGTGTAGACTGTGCACCTGCCCCACACACCACGCACTAGTGTAGACTGTGCACCTACCACACCCACACTACACAAGTGTAGACTGTGCACCTGCCAAACAGACGTGGCCCAATTCATTAAATGACGTTTAGAAATGTTCGCTTTTTTCGCGTCTTGGTTGAAGTGGATCTTTTGTTAGATATAGGACTACACGCATTTCTGTCGCAATAAGTTGTATGCGGCATCGATCATTCGATAACCAGCAGATCGAAGAGTCTCAACGTTTTTTTTTGGGGTATTGATTAGGCTGTATGGGCATTGAATATGAGAGAAAAATTGTCGCAATTTAATCTTATAAAACGTTGTTTTAGTGTATAGATTGGGTAAACTTCCACAATGAATGGCGCTTTCAAATATTGTTAAGGAACTATAACTCTTTTCGAGCACTACTCAAAGAGTTATGGGACTTGAATTTAGATTTTTACACAAGACATTATATACTCAAAAGTTCAGTGCGTACAGAAACCTATAAACACGTACACATAAGATCACATTCTTAAACACGTTTTCACATACCTTACAGCGTATGTGCGTGGGAATTATGTTTATTTAAACACACTCTAAATAAAACGTGAATCTTAGATTCATATGGCCTTTCTTCTTTTTCTGTTTTCTAAATAAAATTGTGATATTGGATAGGCTTCCCTGTAACATAATTAGATATTACGTGTCGACATATTGTGCCTAATGTTACAATGACTCAAACATCAGCAAAGGTTTTCTTTCAGGATTTGCTTCCATAGCTTTCGACCACACATAAACCTTGCAAGGCGCCATTGTTTTATTTTTTTCCCACGTTTTCTTTAACTTGCTTTCTCTGTGTGTTTCTGTGTTTGTCTTTCCAATCAAATCTTGCGATCGAAATTTCTGGCACTTCCCAGTTAGCTAGCGCGCTGAAATTTTCAGGGAAGCTTTGTTTTGGATGACAATTGAATATTCTATTGTTTTTATTACTAAATTAATCCATGGAAACATTTTATTGATCATTTTAGACCGCTATATAATTGTACCAAAAAACGTGGGGGAAAAGGGACATTACCCAGTAACTGTAATTTGATGAAAACAAGGTTCGGCACTCCCCCTCTTTTTGCTTACTGAGTAGTTGTCACGCTGTGTTTGTGTACAAACAACCATAACGTAACAACTGGTGGCCAGTATGGGGGAGACGATATGGTCGAGTGGTTGGGCACACGATTGCTATCCCACTCGACACGGGTTCAAATCTATGTGTTCTAGTCAGTAACGTATTCACACAACGTGTTTTTTACGAGTTGTCTTTTTACGAGTTGTCTTTTTACGAGTTGTCTTCGTTTACCCAAAAAAAAAGTGAAAAGATAAAATCGATAGCAAGATTTACATGCAAACAAACAGACAAACACTAAAAAGTAGAAAATAATAATCATTAAAAAAGTTTTAAAAAACCCACGTTTTCTGATTGAACTAAAAAGTAGAAAATAAATACTATACATACAATAATGCAAGCGATCACTCTACTATAAGCTATCAAAAACGTGGGGCGCCGTGATTTTCTTACAGTTTCTAATACTGTTGACTCTCTACAAGCTCCCTAATAAAAGTCAATAGTATTATCTAATCAATAGTAATATAACTTTTACTTCGGCGACCCACGTTTTTGATAGCTTATAGTAGAGTGATCGCTTGCATTATTGTATGTATAGTATTTATTTTCTACTTTTTAGTTCAATCAGAAAACGTGGGTTTTTTAAAACTTTTTTAATGATTATTATTTGATGTTTGTATTTTCTCTACTATACGAGTTGCTGTCCCCAGCGAACAAGCCGCTTTTTTTATCTGTTATTTTAATGATGATAGTTGAAAATAATTTGGTTTACGAGCCGGTTATGGTAATCATTACGACGATGGTCTTAATTTAATAACATCATTATCTCTAGGCAGGCTGTAGAATAGAATTTATAAGGAAAGAGGGAAAGAGCCGTGTATGATTGAGAGGTGTGGTTATGTCCCTTTGGTGTACAAGCTGTCTACAGGAATAATGATGATAACGACCATGCATGATTTTCTAAACACAACTTCAGTAATTTTTAGTTCTTACGATGAAGCTTACATACATAATAGATAATAATCTATAAACCGTTTTGTTAGGGACTTGTTAAAATGAGTATAAACACAAAATATAGACAATGTAGTTGGTCCGTCTCTGATGAGTTCATTCACAAATAAAGGTATACAAACAAAAGTATACAAAGAGCTGTATGTAAATTCTAGGTATGAAAACAGGGGTAAAAATGTGTATTCGAAAATGAGTAGGCCTATATAATTCTAGGTATGCAAACACATCAAAAAATTAAAATTTTACAATCAAAGATAGTCGTGCTACTAAATTCATTTTTCATTAAACTTTTATAATCAATTAATTGACCAACGCAAAATTCAATTTAAAACATTACATATCGTGATGGCACTGGCATTGGGGCGTGCTGTAGTGTCAGAGTTGAAGACCCTTTAAGTAAAGAACTTAACAATGTCGCCAGCCACGCACTATATACTTGTTACCAAAGCACGATCACACAAAGCTATCAACAGGACGACTTGTAGTGGGTTTAACATTTTACCTGTAGTGCCTTTGTTTGATTCGAGGCTGCTAATTATAAATTAACATTAATTAACCTTCTTACTCTGCGATAACAAAGGCGGATTTATCTAATAAAGTTGAGTGTACCGACATTATATTCAGACATTGATCAAATATAAACAGTACAGACATTATGACGTACATTTGTATCCACTATAATGACGTGCACATTTATTCACTATAATGAAGTACACATGTATCCACTTAAATGACGTAGGCATTTATCCACTAGAATGACGTTCACATGTATCCACTATAATGACTTAAACACGTATATACTATAATGAAGTACACACGTATCCACTATAGTGAAGTACACAAGTTTCCACTATGACGTACACATGCAACTACTATAATAACATACACACGTATCCACTATAACAGGGGTCTCCAAACTACGGCCCGCGGGCCGGATGCGGCCCGCGAGGTCCTCTCATCCGGCCCTCGGAGATATTTTTGTCCACGGAAAAAAATGTTTGTTGTAGGTGGCTTTGGAAAAATGCCACCCCAATGATATACCTAAAAAGAAACTCTGGCCCCCGAACTTATATTTGATAGTTAATGCGGCCCTCGGGCTGAAAAGTTTGGAGACCCCTGCACTATAACGACGTACACACGTTTCCACTATAATGACGTACACATGTAACCACTATAAACAACTCAACATAGTACGACCATTATGACGTAGACAACTTATCCACCCCACACAGTGCGACCATTATGACGTAGACAACTTATCCACTCCACACACTACGACCATTATGACGTAGACAACTTATCCACTCTACACACTACGACCATTTTGACGTAGACAACCTATCCACTCAACACAGTGTGACCATTATAACGTCCACCTCCAAAATTCACCTGGCGGTTCCTCGTTCTGCTCTAATTACGTCATGCCATTGCCACTGTTTACCTTTACCTCACGACTGCTAGCCCCAGTCACCTGGAATCAATGCTAGTCAATCGACCACCAACTGGGACTCGATTAGTTGTTGGTGATTTTCAAATCGTGAATTTAGCACTGGACATTTATACCACCGTAGAAAATAAATTCGTTCACATGGTAGTGGTTATCAAATCGTGTATTCAATACTGGACATATATATCACCATATTTAATTTTTTCAGTAGTGGCTGATTATCAAATCGTTTATTCACAACTGGACATTCATACCACTGTAGAGAATTATATAGTTTGTGATCATCAAATCGTTTATTAAATGCTGGACATATATACTACCATATTCAATTCTTTCAGAAGCTGTTGATTATCGAAATCGTTTGTTCACTACTGGATATTCATACCATCTTATTGAAATCGTCGATCAGTTACTGATTATCAAATCGTTTATTCAATACTAGACATACAATGGATATGTACGGTCGTGTTACAAAATGTATTTTAATTGTATTTATTTCTTTGCTGTGTGTTCGTGTCTACGGTCAATCCTACAACGATACCATGACCATTTTCAATGATCTTTTGGATAGCTCGAAATACAACCCTAAGATAAGACCAATTCTTGACCAGAATTCGACACTATACGTCTATGTATCGTTTGAGCTGTTGTCTATTGTAGAGTTGGATGACGTCAAGCAAAGTTTTACCTGTAACGGTTTCCTGGGATTTGTCTGGATCGACCAGGTCAGACATTTTCAGTAACACCTAAAACACTTTTCTGGAATTAATACATGTCTGACGAAAATATTTACACTTAAAACAGCAATAATGTTCACACATATGTCATTAAGGAATTTTAGTTTACGAAAAAAAAATGTGTTTAATCCTTTTACGACAAAGGATAAACAATATTAAAATGTTTTGCCAAAGTCAAAGCTAGACAGATATATCCGTAGATATGTACCTATATCGAAGTTGATTGTTGAAATGACACTTAATGTCAAACCAGTGCTTGCTTCTAGCCATTTAAAAGGCAACTGTACTTGACTGCTGACTTCAACAATTGGAATTTCAATAACCTAAAGTGGAACTTATTCTACTTTTAGTTTATTAAAAGCCTATAACTTGAATACTGTTTAAGATAGATAAACGACATTTCACATAAAAGTAAAAGATCTAATTTTATTTGCCTTCTATGTCAAATTTTGAGTAGATTTCGTTGAGCGGAAGTAGTAATTTAAGCTAATAATATTCCGCACTATTATAAATAGATTGTTTGGCGTTTACTTGGTACACATTTTTTTTTTCTACGAGATTCTATTTAAATAGTTTAAGTTACTAGAAATTGATTAAAAATCATGTCTCTATCCCGCGTTGCCATTCCCCGTAGTGTTATATAAGAATATTCGAGAAAGTTTATTCGAGATTTATTCATTAAACAGTTGATTTGTGCGTTAAATTAGAGATCTCTTATTTGATGTTGAAGACTAATTAAACATGTGATCAGTTGTGTTTATCTTATTTACAGCATTATTTCGTTTCACAAACGTTTCTGTAGATTCTCGTTATCGAACTAGTTATCGAACTGTAGATTTAAATTGTATGTTGAATCGCGATACTAAAATAGAAAAAATGATATATTTATTGTAGGAAGCAGGTAGTCAGACAATTTTGACACGATCATTCCCATGTGCTCGGATTCGAACTCCATACTGTTTTTATTAACGATTTTACTCGAACATTTTTACTAAATACTTAACTGTAGTTGATTTTTTGCGGATAATTTAAAACAATGAAAACGTATACATTAGTAAAGGGGTCGTCCATAAATGACGTCACACTCGTAGGAGGAGAGGGGGGTCCGTAATTTTGTGACGGTGTGTGATGAGGGGGAAGGGTGGGGGAAGGGGTTCAGATGGTGCGACGTCACACTTTTGCATTTAAAAAAGCAATGTTAGAAAATGAATTTTAGACGTTATTTAGACATTATTTCGCGTTTCAGAACTTAATGAATTGCAATAGGTATTGATTAAAAGACCCTTTTTTTTGACAGAGTTCAGACAAGGTTTTTGAAAAATATCGATGTTTTAAGAAAAATTCAACTTCAATTTTGAGGAGGGTTGTAGGCTGAGGTGTGATGTCGATTTCAGGGGGGGTTAGGGTTAGGGTTAGGGTTAGGGTCTGGCTTTTTGTGAAGATGTGTGACGGAGTGGAGGTGGGACGGGGAAGGTAAAAATCGTCAAAAAGTGTGACGTCATTTATAGATGACCCCAAAGGCGTTTAAATAAGAGAATAGAAGGAGTACAACACATTCAGTACAAAGATGTTTTATCTGACAGATGTTGAAGTGGGATAGGAACCAATATGGAGGACAGTATGTGATACATCCGGTCCCAGAGGACATCTGGAGACCACGTGTGGTCATCATGAACACGTTAGGGAACCGGGACCCGTTTGGCGATGACGTTGCGTGAGTATATTTTCTTTTAAAATGCACTAATAAAACAGAAATTGGATATGCAATTTTATTCTACTCACCCCAAAAAAAAACTTGAATTAACAAACACTCGCATCAATCTCATAGACAGTGCAAGTAGAATCTAATGTTTTCTTTTATAACAAAAACCCTACAAGGCAGATGAAGTAGAGTAAGTCATTTTATCTTACCTTAGCATATATATGTATTGTATAGCTGCTATACTTTTTGCAAGAATCACTTTAGGTAAGTATCAGTCATGAGTGGACATCAAACTCCAGCGCAGAAAGCAAACCAGCGAACTCGTGTTTAAAAGTGTGTAGCATTGACCAAGACCAAGACAGTTGTTTTTTTTTTTTTTTTAAATTTATCTCTTATTTAAATAATTTCACTTTCCCAGCCCCGTTTTTATCTTCGAGTCTGGTGAAGTATCATGGGTACCAGGAACTCTGTGGACAACTTCCTGTGAACTGGACCTGACGGACTACCCGTTTGACAGTCAGAGCTGTGCAGTCCAGGTGTGTTCTCACACGCTTTAAAACAGCCTTAAACAACCTATATTTTATATATTACTAGCTATTATCGGCTTGTCTTTGTATAAGCATCAGATTCAAACCATTAACAGAAAACCGCTTGTTGCTTACTTTCCATTGCCTAGTGAGTAACAACATAATACAAATAAATTATACAAACATAAAGTATCGAAATAGTATCATATAAAATTACATAGTTCAACCTACCCCCACCCGGTCAATAGCCCCAAGATAAATTACGTCCTCTTAGTTAACACCTTGTATATTTACCACACTACACGATATATAGTATACCAGTATATATCCCTTTGTTTCCACGAAGTCATCTAAAAAATCCCAACCATGTTCTTCTAACTGAAAAAGTAGAATAAGTTCCACTTATTACACATTTAATATAATACTAATATTTAAAATTTCGTCAACCTAGCTGTAACGGTTCTTAAGTTATCGTGTTCACAGACGGACACAACCAAACACATACACACAGACACACACACACACAGACATACAGACAAGATTGCAAAATTAAGTCTTTACGACTCACGGAGGTCTAAAACGTCGAAATTAGTGAAAATCTCGATTTCGATTTTTAGACGATTAGAATGCTTCTTCTATACTTTGTATACGAGAAAGTAAAAAGCAATTACAGTACATTTAATTACCCAAGGCAAATTTAGCCCTGTGAGTTGTTTCAGTGATAGTAACTCTCTCATAACCAACAAAAAATGAAAAAAAAACGCCTTTTACAACATAACATTACGTTTTAATGGCTAATACCATGTCTTTCTTACCTAAAATAACTAATTTAATCTTTTGTCAGCCATGGGTGAGTGTAGAATTTAATAAAATGTATATTTATGTTGCCTAATACTTACGTTATTTTAATAATACATCTATTCTTCAGTAAAATAGTGGCATTAACTTAAATCATCTTTTGATTCTTTGCTAATCGTTGTCTTAGGAATAAACTGATCATGTTAATTAACTAGTTCCTACTTATAGAAATGAAACCCGAAACAAACCACAAGGTAAAAACTGTATAATTTTATTGCAGATTGTAGCCATGACCCTATCGTCAGTAGAAATGTCGTTCTGGACCTATCCGGATAAAGTAGGTCTGAACTTTTTCACGACAAACGGAGAATGGGAGTATCTTTCATCAAGCGTGAGGACCACATTTATCAGCACAGGGTCTTTAAACATGTCCAGTGTCATAGTGAGTATTACACACACAGGCATTTATTATAGAAACACATATAAGGATGTCATTCTTCTTTAGACAACTGAATCACATGAGCATTTATGCTAGGAACTCATATAGGGATGACATTCTTCTTTAGACAAATGGATCGCATGAGCATTCATGCTAGAAGCTCATACAGGGATTTAATTCTTCATGATTTGATGTTATTAAAATATGGTGCGTTGAGAAAAATATGTAGAGCGCACAAATGCTGAACCGTAAAGTCCGTACTCGAGTCACTGAGCACACCCAGCTTTGATGGATACCCAGCTATTTTTTGAGTGACTGAGCGTAAACTAACTACACAATCACTCATATGCTGTGATCACAGAAACAGCTGGATTCTTTTGGATTTTTGAGCGTCCAATTCGCTAACTTTTTACGTATGTTATATATAGCTATAGAGTTTCGTCGTCACGAAGTGAGCGGGTAGATAGCTGATGGTTTCTAACTCGCAATTCCCAAGTAAATCCTCGGGTCCCTGACGCTCATTTGCTGGGGACAGCAGCTCATTAGAAGAAAAACCTCCGAAATTAAATAGGAGTGGAGATTCTCATGCGTGAGGATTTCGTTAGGGCAGCTTTTGCATCAAAAGGTGGTACCAAAAGAAATGCTAAGCATTCTTTTGGATTATACCAGAAAAGTTCGAGAGGGATCGTAATGTATAAGCAGCTAATGATCCCTTCATCTAAAGCCCTTGTACGCATCCTGAAGATTTCACTTCTCTGGATGCGTCCATTATCGCTCGGGGTAAAATGCAGCCATATTTTTGTTACATCTCAATTGGAAAAAAAACCCTGCTTTATACAGTTTATATAATCAATTATAAAACCAACGTATAATACGTTCTAAAAACGAACCAACATATAAAAAAATTAACACCTATATAATTCGTTGAATTTAGTTTCTTATAAGGACAATATACTGAAAATATGAATGAAAATACAAATTGTCTTTTAAGATACATTTTTATATGACTCTTTATATGCAATGAATATGACTTGACTCTATACTTTTCAGATAACGTTTAACATGAAGAGGAGACCCACCTTTCTCCTCATCAACATTATCCTCCCTGTCGTGTTTCTCTCTTTCCTCAATCTGCTCGTCTTCGTCATTCCAGTGGAATCTGGGGACAAAATTGGCTATGGTGAGTTGTCGCATTTTATAGATATCTGTATAGATAGAGGTATTTGTTTGGGTTATGTCTCTTAGTTGTGGGTAGCACAGCTGTGTAATCAAAAGCATAATCGAATAACTGAACAAAATACAGAATAAAGATAAAACTCGAATAAATCATGCACTACACGAATGTCAAAATCACACACGCTGTAGGTTTATTTGTAATTTACCTTGCTTTTATTTCGGTAAATCCTGCGAAACTGCTCATTCCAAGCTGTTCTCGTAACATCCTGTCTCTTGGGCCCACCAGCTGCATGGAGAGAGAGGGGGTCTGAAAAATGGATATCTTATGGCTCTTTTCAACGTATGGACCAGGCTTTATGCTTGAATTTCCAATGAGCAGTTATTCAATTGTCTATTAGACTATAAATATATATATATATATATATATATATATATATATATATATATATATATATATATATATATATATATATATATATATATAATACATATCTTGATTTTAAAAATGTCAATGATTTTTGGTCTTTTTTTGACCTCCAGGTATCACAGTGTTGTTGTCCCTCTCTGTCTACATGAGCATCGTCAGCTCTCTACTGCCCAGCTCCTCACTGACCACACCAAAGCTGACCCTCTACCTCTTCATCCTCCTCATCATCTCCATGCTCACCGTTATCGACAGCATCATCATCGTCTTCCTTAACAACCTAGAAGAAGTAAGTACACTTTTTAAACGTTTTTGATAGGACATAATATACATTGAAGAAAGGATACTATTCTAAGAACATTTTTAAAAAGGAGATATCGGTAAAATACCTACAATTATATAAATAACTTACTAGCTATGAAAGAAATTATTAGCTAGACCAAAACACTGTCAAAGCAAATACAACACAAGCAATAGAATTCGTTACTAGAAAATACAATTCAATATTTGTAATCCATTATTTAAGACGTGTTTTTTTTCAATTTAGTAGTGACAATTTATAATGAAAAGCCACTTTTATTCTGCAATTACATAACAACATTCATTGTATATGCCTACTTACTTTATTCTTTTTAAAATTAAATATCCGGACTTTTTGTTTTTGAATTGTAAAATTTTCATTTAAGTAAAATAACATTTTCTTTTAACTTTTTGTTTTATGAAGCTCATTTGTGTTTGAAAAAAAAAATATATATATTTATATATAAATAAATATTTTACATTTTTATTGGCCAACAAAAGCTAAACTACTTTTAATAAAATATTAAATATTAAAATCTCTTATTAACAAATTAATATTTCAGAGAGAGGTTATACATCTCAAGGCCCAAGATAATTTTAAATCAGCTTTCAACAAAATCACTAACCTCCGCAAGGCTGTCGCTCCCATGTCAACCACGTCTAGAAATAAAATCCACGTCCAACCGCAAGGGAAGCAATCCATGTTAAAAGTCACTGAAGTGATGTCATACAATGATGAATCACCGCCGTATTGTTCCACGGAGAAATCAGCCAATCAGGATGAAGAGCGGGAGACACCTCGCGTAAACAAGTACAAGATAATAGGCAAACACATAGACGCCATCTCGTTTGTAGTGTTCTTTGTCATCTGGATCTCTGTGACTCTGGGATTCTTGTTCAACATCGCTTTTTAGAGTCACAAAAATACATCATCATTGACTTGATTTATGTGACTCTTTGTTTCCTGCTCAACATTCTAGACTCACAAAAACATCAACTTTTGATCTTTGTGATTCTTGGCCAATTGCTTAATAGCGCTTTTTAGAATCATTTGCGTTTTATATTAAAAATTTTAGAATAAAGTAACACAATTTCTTGCGAAAATTAATTTAGGAACGATTTTTTTATTTGCACTTAACAGAAGACTCTAAAAGTTTCAGCAAAGACAATGATAAGTAACTGACATCATACTATGGGTTGCTTTACATTATTGTTGTGTATTGATGGGGTCTAGGATAGCGGGTTTGATCATTTTTGTCAGGTTTATCTCAGGGTGGGGAAGGAGAGACGATTCGTCGACCGTCCCCCCATCCCCCCCCCCTTGGACGTAACAAAAAACAATGTTTTAATTTATTTAGAAAAATATATTTTAACCATTGCCCAACCCCTCCCCCTGATCGGATTAAACAGAAAGAAATGGTTGAGGCCCTATGTTCCATAATGAGCAAAGAGGACTAAGTCAAGTCAACCACCCGCTCCCCTAAAAGTTTTAATTGCCCCCCTCCTCCATCCAAAAAAAAATATTAAAAAATGCAAGTATCCTCCACAAAGAATACATTTCTGAAAAAAAACCTGGGTTGGATAGAGGTGTGTTAGTCTGCAGAATAAAAGTCGAGGGGTAGTGTGGGGTGGGGGGGGGGGGGGGGGGCATTATATAAAATAACTGACTTTAAAACACAAACCAACGGATGCGTTTTACATGTGTATCCCTATCGCAACTCCCCCCCCCCCCCCACACACACACACCACCACCACCACTACCCTTGTACATATGGCATGTTCTGCAATCTTCATCATAACAAGGGGCAGCAGTTGTTTTACTTTTGTTGTTTGTGACTTTTATCCTAAATAGATTTCTGTCTCCAGCGAACAAGCCTTATTTTCCCTGTTATCGTAAGTAATTATCAAATTGTTTATTTAATACTAGACACACATACAACCATAGAGATCTCGTTCAGTTGTTAGAGAATGTCATATCGTTTATTCAATACTTGACAAACATACCACGATAAAGAACAAATTTCGTAGTTGCTGATTATCAAATCGTTTACTCAATACTTAACAAACATACCACGATAAAGAACAAATTTCGAAGTTGCTGGTTTATTCAATACATAAAATTATTCAAGACATGAAATGGCTTCGTACAGACGTGTTACAAAATGTATTTTAATTTTATTTATTTCATTACTTATTTATGCTCGTGTTTGCGGTCAGACCCACAACGATACCATGACGATTTTTAATGATCTTTTAGATACTTCAGAATACAACTCTAAGATACAACCAATTCTTGATCAGAAGTCGAAAATATAGGTACAGCATCGTTTTAGCTGCTGTTAATTGTAGAGTTGAATGACGTCAAAGTTTTACCTGTAACGGTTTTCCGGCATTTCTCTGGCAGGATGAGATAATTCACAATTGTTACACATAAATTGAGTGACAATTTTTACACCTGAGTTAAGCGACAATCGTTACACCTTAGGCCAACTTAACGACAGCATTAAAACAAAACAATAATTCTATTATACAGAACGAAAAAACACAAAAGTAAATGTGTCTATTTTCTGGAGCATTTTAGAAATAAAAAGATTATCCAAAATGGTAGAACTCCATCCAACACTACAACAGTACAGTATTTTTTTTTTTTTTTAGTTAACATTTTCTTTGCAGAACGTAAAGTGCTTTAATTAAACGTAAAGAGCTTTGATTATTATTTGTAACAATTCCTTCACAGAAGGTATGGGTTTGATAACTATTCACAAAAATCTAAACAAAGGGCGCAACGTTCTGAAAGGTGTTGGCCTACTGCTGTAGCTAAACACCCTCAACTAATCCCCCTTCAATAAAGACACATCCAGAGATCAAATTGAGGCTAATGAATCAAAAACGAACATATTGCTATGTACAGACCTACCCTAGCGTTCGACTATTAGATTTTTGAATAAGCTTCTAAATTTAGATTACAGATACCAGTCATTGAAAAGCAAGGGAGTAAATAACCCTCCATGTTAGTTTTGCTTTCGCTCGCCACAAAGACAGATGGTGTTGTGAACGCGGATTAGCGTACACTATCACCCAATCGTGGTCACAGCTTAAATATGTACACTCACATTTTGAAGTGTGGTTTAAGTTTATTGGTGATTTGTTTCTTCTCACACGTTGAGTGCCAGACTTACAATGAGACCATGGATATTTTTAACGACGTACTGAACAGTGCCAGGTATAACCCAAAGGTCAGACCGCTCTGGAACCAAACAAATACGATGTGCGTTGATGTGACGTTTGAGCTGGTATCTATCGTAGAGTTGGATGACGTTCAGCAGAGTTTTACCTGTAACTGCTTTGTGGGATTTGATTGGGTAGATGAGGCGAGTTACTTTTCTACTAACCTTAACCTTAACCTTAACCTTAACCTTAACCTTAACCTTAACCTTAACCTTAACCTTAACCTTAACCTTAACCTTAACCTTAACCTTAACCTTAACCTTAACCTTAACCTTAACCTTAACCTTAACCTTAACCTTAACCTTAACCTTAACCTTAACCTTAACCTTAACCTTAACCTTAACCTTAACCTTAACCTTAACCTTAACCTTAACCTTAACCTTAACCTTAACCTTAACCTTAACCTTAACCTTAACCGTAACCGTAACCGTAACCGTAACCGTAACCTTAACCTTAACCTTAACCTTAACCTTAACCTTAAGCTTGACTTTGACCTTGGCCTTGACCTTGACCTTGACCTTGACCTTGACCTTAACATTTAACCTTAACCATCTAACTGCACTTATAATTGACAGATTCGGGTCATAGTTAGTACGTGGGTCAAGACATAAAGACAATGCAACATGACATTAAATTTGACTTAATAGGTTGCATGATTAATTTCTTTTTACGAATTAATAAATATTTTAACAAAATTAGTCGGCAATCTTCTTCAACTATTCTGCACCATTATACATGCGTTATCACGTTCATTAGGTGCGCAATGGTTTTTAGTCATGCAATTTTTTTTTTAAAATGTCAAATACTGAAAAAAAAATTCATATAAAACGTTTTAATAACAAGCTTGTATGTAAAAATGCACTAAAAAGAAGAAAATAAATAGAATGTCTTAACATCTCTAATAATAGTTTCGCTGTCTGTGTATCTATCTATTTATCTATCTATCTGTCTGACAAGAACGCTCTAGAGAAAACACAAGCAAATTAAAAACATGCATAGTAATTCGAAAAACGAAATATGACGTCCTCACATTTAGCATAGAGTAGAAAAAAATCTCAAGCCGGAGAGTGCACACAGTAATATGACGTCATTGATTCTCGAGTAAACATTGAATAAAAAGGCAATTTTGTCTAATCTAAATGGTTTGCGTGAAGAGTTTCTTTCATACAATTCTTCGGGTAGGGGCGAAGCGTAAGAACGTCTGAGCCCCCCCCCCCCCCTCCCCAACTCAAAAGAAATTTCTTCATCGATACTCTATAATAAAATTACCGCCTAATTAATGTGATTATCTAAAAAGTGGTTTTCTTGCAATTTCTTTAATGCAATTCTTCGGGTAGTGGCTAAGCGCGACACCAGTGTTTCTTTCAGACTTTTTCCTCCCTGGAGGGGGGACTTTTTCTAATCTAAAAAGTGTTTAGTGTGCAGTTTTTTTTTCAAGCATCTCTTCCGGTAGGGGCGAAGCCCCGCCCAGATTCTTCCTTTAGTTTGTATGATCTACAAATGCGACCAGTGTTTCTTTCAGACTTCCCCCCCTTCGGAGAGAGGTGGGGGTACTTGAAATTTTCGGGGGCGGGGGTAGAATTTTCTGGGAGGGGGCGGACACTGGAAAAAGTATATAATTATATTTTGTTGAATGGGACGGTAGACATGTTTTGGAGTGTGTCTGTGGGGGGGGGGGGGGGGGGGGGAGGGGGGCGAAGCCACCTCCTTCCAAGTAGAGTTGCCTGAAAGAAACTCTTAATGCGACTTTTGTCATGAATGAGATTAGGTGCATGTTTTAGGGATATGCCTATGACTATATTTTGAATAAATTAAAGTACCGAGAAAATAGACAGCACTGTCAACCTAGCGCCCGTTGTATCCTTCCTCATTTTCTCGTATATAATAATACGCTACTATTTATATAACTATAAAGAAAGCGTGGGTCGATTCCAATAAGTATCCAATAGATAATATAGTGACTCTTTTCTTTATACTAAATAAATAGTAGTGTATTATTATATATTTTTAGGAATTTTATTTATTAAAACATCTTTTTTAAGAATTAAAAAAAAAAAATTTTAAATATTGTTTATATATAGTAATATTTACACCTTTTGTAATAACTAATTTAGTATCTAATAAGAGTTTCTAACATTTTCTTCAAAGACAATTTTGTCTGGAAATGGCTTTATTAAAAAACGCTCCAAATCAAAATACAAAATTTGCAACAAACCCAAGAACAAAAAAAAAACTGCATTGTGAACGAAATAAATGCTTAAAATAACGATAATATTTAGATGATAGAATGGGAGAAGGACGATTACGGAGGTCAAGAACTAATACATCCGGTCCCAGAGGACATCTGGAGACCACGTGTGGTCATCATGAACACGTTAGGGGACCGGGACCCGTTTGCTGACGACATAGCGTGAGTAGTTTTCCCTATTCTACTGAGAAACTGTAAGAAGGGACGGGACAGGTGGAATAAAAAGAAGTAGTTTATCATCTTTAAATAACTTTATAACAATAAATTCAAATTCATTAACAGATGATGATATGTATTGTATTTTCATGGTGAAATATATTTTTAAAACAATTTAAGTTAAATCTCCCCCCCCCCCTTTTTTTTGCAATTTTGTTAAAATATATCGCCGCCCGCACCCCCCCCCCCCCTCCCTCAGACCCGTGTATGTCTACAGCGATGGTTCAGTATCCTTGGTACCTGGGACACTGTTGACAACTTCCTGTAAACTTGACC